GCTTTCCAAAGCCAATAGGAATTGTCCAGGCTGTCTCTGCCCTGCTGAGCCCGCCAAAAGTCCCATTCTGCAAACGGTGCTGCACCAGTTGAGTAGTCCTCGACTTATGACCGGTTGAGTAGTCCTCGACTTACGACTGGTTGGGGGTCGCGGCATTAAAAAGGTTGAGAACCACTGATCTAAGGGATTGTCACAGAGAAGAGGGGGGAAACCCATTCTCCTACCTGAGGGTAGGACAAGAAGTAACAGATGAAAACTTATCAAGAAGAGATTCAACTTAGAATTAAGGAGTAATTTCCCGACCTTGAGAACAATTAACCAGTGGAACAATTTGACTCCAGAAGTGTGGAGGTTTTTAATAAGAGACTGGACAGCCACTTGTCTGAAATGATAAAGTGACTCCTGCTTGAGCAGGGGGCTGGACTAGAAGACCTTCAAGGTCCCTTCCAGCTCCATTCTGATTCTGATTCTTTGGAGTTTGCCACCAGGACATGTGATGCTGGCTACCATCTTAAAAAAAGATGTCTATGGTTATAAGGAGGCTTCCTATTATCATATTTGGTGGTCATGCAGAGAGATAAAAGCATTTTGGATCAAAATATGGTGGAATATCCAGAGAATTTTTAGAAGGAGGGTAAAATTTACTCCGCAATTATTTTTGTTAGGTATTGTTACAGATTGTGATACAAAGGAGGTTGTTTTGAGGTTAAATTTGATTACAGCCGCTAGGCTGTTAGTAGGACAATATTGGAAGAAGGAATCTTTGCCTACATTGCAGGAATGGTTTCTTAAAGTAGCTTATCTGGCGGAAATGGCAAAGATTTCGGCCTTCTTAAAGCAACAAACGCAAGAGAAGTTCCTTGCTGTTTGGGACAAATGGATAAAATTTATACAATTTAGATTGGGTATACAAAAATATTATATAGTTTTTTCATAAGTTTTATTTTCATATATATTATAGATAATCTTTTTATATATATAAATATAAAGTTCTTAATTTAATTTTTATTTTTACTTCTTAAGCCTATATTCTGCTCTGGGAAGCTCGGGGGGGGGGAAGGGAGGGGGGGGTTTTGGGAGGGGTGGGGTTTTTTTTTTCTTTTTTTTATATATATGTATTGTTTAGTTTTATTTTTTTTTGTATATGTTGTCTCTTGTTTTGTATTCTTTTTTCTTTTTTGTAAAATTTATAAAACTTCTAATAAAAAAAAAAATAAATTTAAAAAAAAAAAAAAAAGATGTCTATGGAGATTCTCAATCCACCAGGTCATTGTTGTCCCGAAGGTGTTTTTTCTCTAAAAGGCAACTGGATTTTCTTGGGTTTCTTTTTTCCCTTTGGAAACATTTCATTTCTCATTCAATTCAGTTCTGAACTGAACACTTCTTAGAACTTAAGAAGCTTCTTGGGTGAGAAGTGAAATGTTTTCAAAGAAAAAATAAACAAGAAGGTCCAGTTGCCTTTTGGAAAAAGCACCTTTGGGCTTTAAAAAAAAGAGTTAGTCCAATTCATGGAAGTTATGGGGACCAGGGGCTGTTGGTCTTGATGATTGTTGACTCCCTCTGAAGCCCATGTGCTGTGAGCTTCCTTGTGCAGTGGGTTGGCTTCTGTGAGAATGGGGTATGATCCAGTAGGACACAGCTTATGTTGTCATAGAATGGAATGGAATGGAACGGAACGAAATGGAACAAAACAGAACAGAATAGAATATAGAGTAGAGTAGAATTAAATAAGAATAGAATAGAGTAGAATATAGAATAGAATTAAATAAGAACAGAATAGAACATATAGAATTAAATAAGAATAGAAGAGAATACAATAGAAGAGAATAGTAGAGTAGAATAGAATAATAGTCTTTATTGAATAGAGTAGAATAAAATAAAATAGAATAGAATAGAGTAGAATTAAATAAGAATAGAATATAATATAGAGTAGAGTAGAATTAAATAAGAATAGAAGAGACTACAATAGAAGAGAATAGAATAGTAGAGTAGAAAAGAATAATAGTCTTTATTTAATGGAATGGAATAGAATAGAATTAAATAAGAATAGAATAAAATATAGAGTAGAATTAAGTAAGAATGGAAGAGAAGAGACTACAATAGAAGAGAATAGAATAGTAGAGTAGAATAGAATAGAATAGAATAATAGTCTTTATTTAATGGAATAGAATAGAATAGAATAGAATAGAATAGAATAGAATAGAATTCTTTATTGGCTAAATGTGGTTGGACACACAAGGAATTTGTTTCCGGTGCATAAGCTCTCAGTGTACATATATCTCCTTGTTTTTTACTCTAAGGAAGTCACTTCTAACATTTAGATGCAATCTGGGCAGTTGTTTGCACAGATGCTTCCTACAAAATCTCCCCTCTGGCTCTGGAGATGTGAACTCATTTGAGATCAGAAGGAATCCCCTGACCGTGTTTCTCTCAAGCTCAGCTTTCTTCAGCTAGGTTTACACAATTATGGGGTGGAACACGTGCCTTGCTCGAGAGCCTAAGCTAAAATAGGAACTGAGCTGTTCCTTCCCTTTCTTCCCTGTTAGCATTTCTGTGGCTCACTCAAGATCTACCTACGGATTCTTCTCTTGCTTTTATTTTGAAGGCATCTGAGGAAATCTTTGCTTGGTTGATGCTTTTAGCAGCTTTTGCCAACTTCATCGCTCACCAGTAGTCTTCGATTTACAACCCTTTGTCGGGCGACTGAAGTTACAATGGCACTGAAAAAAAGGGACTTATGAACTGTCCTCACACTTACAACCACCAGAGGTCATGTGATCATAATTAGGACGCTTGGCAACTGACATGAATTTACAACGATTGCAGTGTCCCGGGGTCAAGTGATTGTCATTTGGGACCTCCCAACAAGCAAAATCAATGGGGGAAGCTGGATTCACTTAACGACCATGTGATTCATTTATCAATTGCAGTGATTCACTGAACAGTGGCAAAAAGGTCGTAAGATCAGGTGTGATTGACTTAACAGCTGGCTTGCTTAACAACAGGAATACTGATCTCGGTTGTGGACACAGATCCAGGACTATTTAAATTGTTTCCAGATGATTGTCTGGCTCTTCTTTGGTGATTTGACCCTCTTTCTACATATAATATATATTTTTCTTGAGGTTTACATTTTCACTAAGTTGCTTGTGCAGGCATTCCAGCGCTAATGTCTATGTACGTTTACCCAGGTTGTATGCATGTAGAATTATTACTATCCTTCTGATCATCTTTACTACCCCCTATCGGTATTAGTATGATGATGATGATTACCCTGTTGCCTTGCATGTGCAAGGACAGCTTCTACACCGGAGTCAAATTCCTTGTGGGTCTAATCACACTTGGCCAAATAATTCCATTCCATACTATTCTATTCTGTTGTTGTTAATTGCAAAATCGTGTCCGACCCATCGCGACCCTATGGACAACGTTCCTCCAGGTCTTCCAGTCCTCTACCATCTTCTGGAGTCCATTTAAGTTCATGCCTGCTTCAGTGACTCCATCCAACCACCTCATTCTCTGTCGTCCCCTTCTTCTATTGCCCTCCATCTTTCCCAGCATTAGACTCTTCTCCAGTGAGTCCTTCCTTCTCATTAGTATTTGAGTTTCAACTTCAGATCTGGCCTTCTAAAGAGCAGTCAGGGTTGATCTCCTCTAGGACTGACCGGTTTAATCGCCTTGCAGTCCAGGGGACTCGCAGGAGTCTTCTCCAGCACCAGAGTTCAAAGGCCTCCATTCTTTGGCGCTCAGCTTTTCTTATGGTCCAACTTTCACAGCCATACATTGCAACTGGGAAAACCATGGCCTGGACTATACGCACTTTTGTTGGCAGGGTGATGTCTCTGCTTTTTAGAATGCTGTCTAGATTTGCCATAGCTTTCCTCCCCAGGAGCAAGCGTCTTTTAATTTCTTGGCTGCAGTCCCCATCTGAGGTTATCTTGGAGCCCAGAAAAATAAAATCTGTCACTACCTCCATTTCTTCCCCATCTATTTGCCAGGAATTGAGAGGGATGGATGCCATGATCTTGGTTTTCTATTCTATTCTATTCTATTCTATTCTAATTCTATTCTTTCTTATTCTATTCCTTGACTTGTGAAAAAAGAAAATGACATGGATTTTGTCAATGACACTAGAAAATGTCATGATTAGACTTCTCTGGCTAGTACAGGACAGTAGTTAGGAAATCACAGATCACTTAAATCTTACCTAGAATTACTCTGTGAATGTAAATGTGCAACATCATTTTCCTTTTTTTGGGGGGGGGGGTAAAATAAAGATTCCAGAAGAAACAAGAGAGTGAAACCTGAGATGTCATGAATCTAACAACAAACTTTGGGGAAAAGTTTGGAAATAAATGCTGCCACCCGTTGGCTGCACAGTTCATAAATGAAATAAGTACTAGACATTCATTTCTTTTACTCACGTGATCACTATTTGTTAAAATGTATTATATTTTTAATTACTATTATTGCTGTTACGGTTTTATCATTTCAATGTCTACCGGTTTTAATGTTTCAAAATGTTCCTGTTGGCTGATCAAAAAGCACAGCTGGTTGGGTGGCAAAATGGACACGTCTCCCTTGCCAACGGTCATCATTCAGACGTGTTATTTTGCTTTTTGAAAGAAAATGAATGGAAAGGCCACACACCCAGGCATACACACTGCTACCCCAAAAGCACTTAAAATGAACTCTGCTATGTTCTTTATTATTTTTAAAGTGCAAATAAAAATTACAACCATTTCCTTAGTGACGAAAGTTACAACGGCACTGAAAAAAGTTGTCTCAGGACCATTTTTTCACACTTAACCACCACTGCAGCATCCCCATGGTCACGTGATCAAAATCCAGACGTTTGGCAACTGGCTCCTATTTATGACGGTTGCAGTGTCCCCTGGGATCACGTGATCACATTTTGAGAATCTCTTGACAAGCAAACTCAATGGGGCAAAACTCGTAAAATGGGGCAAAACTCACTTAGCAACCGTCTTGCTGAGCCACGGAAATTTTGGGCTCAATTGTGCTGGTAAGGTAAGGACTACCTGTACATAAATTGAATTGTATTGAATTGAATGAATGAATTGAATGAATGACAAGATTTGCTTTTTGAGTAACTCTCAACGGTTCCAATGATGAATCTATCGATAGGACGAGTTGCATCCACAGTATTTAATTTGTTTGAATAATATACTTACAGATAGACAAGTTCACTCCATATACAGTTACTTGGGCTTTTTTTTTTTTAATACAGTTCATATCCCAATACATTAATACTTTTTTTTTCTTTAAATTATTTACACAGTACTTATGTACACGGTCTTTCTAAATTCAGTGCATTGTCAATAAGTTTTATAAAATAATTTACAGAGCGAATATAGTTAAACAATTTTAACTTAAAAGTGTTTTTCCTATTAAATTTAGGAATTAATTTAACCTTTTTTCTTAAAAAGAAATTAATCATTACAACCGATGTAACAAAGCATGGCAGATTATTTAAAGACGACGCGAGTTGATCATGCTGTGGTTGGGGACTTAAGTGAAACCGCTTCGAAAGAAAGGAAGAGGTGAGCGAGAAGAATCTTCAAAGAGAGATAGAGGTTGACGTCCCCTCCCGTTTTTAAAGTAGGGGTTTTCTCCATGCTCAGAGAGGTCAAGAAAATGGACATAGGGCAGGGATAGGCAATCTTGGCTCTTTTATGACTCGTGGACTTCAACTCCCAGAATTCCTGAGCCGGCATGGCTCAGCTTGGAAACCTCTCCCTTTCTCCTCAGCATGGCTGGCTCAGGAATTCTGGGAGTTGAAGTCCACGAGTCATAAAAGAGCCAAGGTTGCCGATCCCTGACATAGGGGATAATAAGTTGTTTAAAATCTCTTCCCGCCTCCAGGATTTGGCTACCCCACTAGGGACATCACAGCTGATAGGCTTCAAATCTTGTCTTCAACAAGATGCTGGCTTTTTTTTTTTTTTTTTTGGCAAAAGGGGAACGTTGCACTATTAATCACACAACCGAGATTGGTTTTCAGTAGCTATTCTGGAATACACTTTCCTGAAGGCCTCATCCACACAGTCGGGAATTATGGGAGCTTATAGGAGATTATGGTGGCCTGTTTCTACACGACAAGCTAAGAGACACTAGGCCTTTTTTTTTCTCCTTAGAGTGAGCCACGACCTTCTGCCATTCTTAAAGCAGAAGACCTGGGTTTGAAATGACCCCCATCTGCAACATTCATACCCGTGCGCACACTAATGGGAGTGACAAGGTGTCCCGCTCAGCAACCACTGGATGATGGTTCCACGTCACTCGGGTGGGTAAGATCCTCAGTGCATGGCTGAGTTGCTCGGACACAAATAGTTGGGTGTTTCAAAGCAATCAAAAGACTGAACAACTGTCAGCGGTTGTGTTCTCCAGCAGTGTTTCGCAGCCTCGGGCGACTTGAAGATGGGTGGACTTCAACTCCCAGAATTCCCCAGCCAGCATGGCTGGCTGGGGGATTCTGGGAGTTGAAGTCCACCCATCTTCGAGTTGCTGAGAGGTAAACACTGTTCTATTAGCCCACCAAAGCACGGGCTAAAAGTCTACTTAAACCCTACAATCCTCCTCTTCTGTCTACATTTACCAAACTCCCTAAAAGAGACCTAATCCTCCTTTCTAACGGGGGGGGGTTTAGAGGAATGAAGCCACAATGCCCTGGAATGGCCAGGAAATGGTATTAGGAAAAAAGGGAGTTTTGAAAAGTCTTCTGTAAACTCTGCAGTTGGAAGAAGACAGCCTGATGCAGAAAAAAGCTAAGCCATTTTGCTTGGGGGGAAGGAAACGAGGGAACAATAGCACGGAAATTAGCTAAAAGAAATAATGTGAATTTTTATTGGGTTCTCAATAAGGGAAGGGTTGACAGGGACCGGTTCAAAGAACAGGGGAGGGCTGAGCTGATCGTGTGTGTTCCTCTTCAAGAAGGCAGAATAAAACCCTGCATACAGATAAGAAATCTAAGCTTGTTAGGAGGCAAATTGCTTATTGACTTCTCTCTGCTATATTAAAGGTTTTATTTTGCACAGAGAAGTCACTTCTTCAACTAGATCCTTCTTTCCAACATTTTAGCAGCACGATTGGTCTCCAAATTGGTGACAAAACTCACCTTGGCTGCTCTTTTAAAATCTCATTGTATCACTAACAGCTGGTTCAAAGGCTTCCTTTATGAAGACATGTGGATTTCATCCTAACCTCTGATTAACCTTATTTAATCATCTGATTGGGACTGGTGAGAAATAAGGGGGTCTGATTTAGGGCCTGGCTTAGTAAATGCCGATTTAGGAAGGATTTTCCATCAAATTCTCAACAGAGCTGGACTGAAAACGGGAACACCGCTGCGGCTCCCTCATTATCCTGCTCCCTCAATCCATTTCCATTTAGGAAGCTGGAAATGGCCACCAATTTAATTCCTTCCTTCATTTTATTATTAAATTTATGCAGCCACCCATTTCACTGCTCTGACTCTGGCTGACCTACAAGATTTATTACAATAGAAGGGGAATCTCCATCAAGAAATGGTTAAAGTAAAGGCTACTCCCCCCCCCCCAAAAAAAACCCCACATGCCTAAAATGGATTTGAAGTATAAATATTCCTTCTGGAGACAATGTTGGATGATCAAAGGTGCAGCCAATTGGATTGGCAAAACGGATACCTCTCTGTTGCCGACAGTCATCATTCAGACGTGTTATTTGGCTTTTTGAAAAAAATGAACGGAAAGGACACACACCCAGGCATACACTCAGCTATCCCAAAAGCACTTGAAATGAACTCTGGTGTGTTATTATTATTATTTTTTAAAGTGCAAATAAAAACAATCATGACTAGCCCTCCAGTCAAGGAAGACCCCTCAAAAGGTCTGCCACAAATGTAGGATTGGTGTTAGAAGTGTTGAAGAAGGGGGCCATTGATCTTGCAATCCATCTCCATTGTGAGGGGCAGCCACTTGGGGGTCCAAAAAAACAAGATGATGGCTGCCCCTGCCATTCTGAAGCCCCATCTCTTGCATACATGTGATACAAGATTTAAAAAAAAAGAGTAGGGCTTGGATCAGTCACCGACACCATCTTGAACTTTTTGACCACTACCCGCCTTCAGAGACATCCTTGAGTATAGCCCTGCTTTGGGTACACATTTCTCATCAGCCATCACTGATACACTGTCGGCTCAAACACACAACCAGGTTCTGTTGTCTTTGGGATTTAAAGGCTGGGTTAAACTGCATTAGGTTGGATTGAATTGAGTTGCATTGGGTTGGGTTGGGTTAAGTTGCTTTGAGTTGGGTTGGGTTGAGTTGCATTGGGTTGGGCTGGATTAAGATGCTTTGAGTTGAGTTGGGTTGAGTTGCATTGGGTTGAACTGGATTAGGTTGGACTGGGTTGGGTTGCATTGGGTTGAGTTGAGTTGAGTTGCATTAGGCTGGATTGGGTTGGGTTGAGTTGCATTGGGTTGGATTGGGTTGAGATGCATTGGGTTGGGTTGGGTTAAGTTGCTTTGAGTTGGGTTGGGTTGAGTTGGATTGCACTGGGTTGAGTTACATTAGGTTGGATTGGGTTGAATGGCATTGGGTTGGTTAAGTTGCTTTGACTTGGGTTGGGTTGCATTGGGTTGAACTAGATTAGGTTGGATTGGGTTGGGTTGGGTTGCACTAAATTGGGAAATAGATTTCTGTTTTGATTATCCCAGGCTCAACAATGATCAGATCAATACACTAAAAAATCAGGAGCTAGTTTCTTTTGAATGAAGGTTATAAGATGAGGAGACAGCTTAACCACAAAGAGAAAATATTTTCAGAACCAGGGCAGATTTCTTACCCCAAGTACCCTCTAGTAAACGGAGAAAACACTTGGTTCCTAGAACATCCCAATCCATCCAAAGTGGAGATGAATACAAATAATTAGCCCACTCACTGCCCCCAGCAACAGCCTGGAACTGTCTCAGCTTCCAGTCTTTCAGCCATTTTAAGGACCAAAAGGCTGCTGGAGCTGCTCTGAATCCTCTCTGAAAGCCAACAGGGTTGGAACAATTCCACAAGGTCAAAAAAATAGGAAACTTTATTCTCAAGGCGACGGGAAGGGCTGCTAATGAATACATCAACTGAGAAAGTGAACAGCGGGTTAAACAGGGCAAGTTTGGGGGGACTTTCCTGCAGTTTGTGCCTGCCATCTGTGTATGCCTCTTCTCCTTGCGGAAATGGAATAAAACTTCAGAAAAAGGAGGTAGAAATTTCATGTTGTCAGACAACACTACAAGTTTATCATCGGAAATTGGAAGAGAGCTTCCACAAAAATTATTTCTCTCCCCAACCCCAACTCACTTCAGACGTCTCTAAGAGCAAATTGGTAAAAGGAAAGAACAGACTACGGCTATCCTGGCTCTTAATTGGATGATCAAAAACTTTAAATGCATCTAGTCTTAGTTTGCTGAGGTCAAGCCAGTTTAAAGGCTGAAGGCAAAATAAAACAATTTAACCAATGGGCGTTCCCCCACCCTCTGGACATGGAGCAAGAGATGGGAAACCAAAGCAAATGCCATCCGATATATGCTCGTTTTAATTAGGGCTTCTCTTTCTCCCCCTGTTTTTTTTTTGTTTTGTTTGTTTGTTTTTCTTTAGTTGTGCTTTCAAGTCACAGGGGGGGAAATAAAAAATAAAATAAAATAAAATAAAAACTACAGCTAGCTCTTCTGCTCGGTTAAAACCGTATTTCCTTTTTTTTCTTGCCAGCCTCGTGGTGCAATTACCCTCGGACCAACCTTTACAAACCCGTTTTTGTTCATTGCAAGACACAGTACTTTTTGTAATCGGACTCAAAATCTTCATCCATGCTACTGGTATCCGCCATATTCTTGCCCTCAATCTTTGGCAAAAATTGTGCATAGTCCACTCCTTGCTGTTCGTAGAAAAGGATGTAGGCAGAATCTGTGTCGATTTCGTCGGTATGCAATTCCTGAATGATGGAGGTGGAGGAGGAGGAGGAGGAGGAGGAGGAGAAGGAGAAGAAGAGGCGCTCATTACTCCAAAATTTAAAATTTACAAAAATGCTGAGACCTGTTGAAACTCTTGTCCTAATACTACTGGAGACTGTTTGGCATCAGGGAGGCTGGTATAGCAGCTTATTATAAGGACACTGCAGGAATTAGCAACTTTAGTCTAGTTAGTTAAGGGCACCCAGCTAGAAACTGGGATACTAAGTGTTCTACTCCAACCTTAGACATGAAAGTCAGCTGAGTGACTTTGGGCCAATCAACAGGAGACAGTGAGTTCTAGTCCTGCCTTAGACATGAAAGTCAGCTGGGTGACTGTGGGCCAATGACCAGGAGATGGTGAGTTCTAGTCCTGCCTTAGACATGAAAGCCAGTTGGGTGTCTTTGGGCCAATCAACAGGAGATGGTGAGTTCTAGTCCTGCCTTAGACATGAAAGCCAGTTGGGTGATTGTGGGCCAATCAACAGGAGACAGTGAGTTCTAGTCCTACCTTAGGCATGAAAGCCAGCTGGTGACTTTGGGCCAATGACCAGCAGACAGTGAGTTCTAGTCCTGCCTTAGACATGTAAGCCAGTTGGCAGTGACTATGGGCCAATCACCAGGAGGCAGTGAGTTCTAGTCCCACCTTAAGTATGAAAGCCAGCTGGGTGACTTTGGGTCAGTCTCTCTCTCTCTCTCTCAGCTCAACTCACGTCACAGAGTGGTTGTTGTGGGGAAAATAGGAGGAGGAAGGTGTGTGTTGGACATGTTCATCACTTTGAGTTATTTGTAAAAAATAATAAGGTGGGATATAAACAAACAAATAAACAAATCCTCTTGGAAATCTCGGAAAATGGCAGGATGCAGAATAATAACACTGATACATCCCCTGGAAGAACGCCCAGACCCAGCTAAGAGGTCTGGAATATCCTAAAGGAGCAACAAAATTACCTTAAGTACAGAGATGGGGAACGGCCCTTTTATGACTCGTGGACTTCAACTCCCAGAATTTCTGAGTCAGCCATGCTGAGGAGAAATGGAGAGGTTTCCAAGCTGAGCCATGCTGGCTCAGGAATTCTGGAAGTTGAAGTCCATGAGTCATTAAAGAGCCAAGGTTCCCTCCCCCTGGCCTAGATCAGTAGTAGGCAACCTTGGCTCTTTTGTGACTCGTGGACTTCAACTCCCAGAATTCTTGAGCCAGCCACGCTGAGGAGAAATGGAGAGGTTTCTATTCTGAGCCACGCTGGCTCAGGAATTCTGGGAGTTGATGTCCACGAGTCATAAAAGGGCCCTGGTTCCCCACCCCTCATCTAGGCCAATATGTCTCAAATCCACAAGGGGACACCACCAACTTCCAAAATGGAACAACGCAACTGGAAGACAGCATCATCTACCTCCAAGTCTCTGGAGACCGACAATTGACCGGCATCCAGAAACAGGCTGGGCCAAAGTAAATCGTTGTTAGCATCCAATGTCCTCAAATTTCGATAGCTAATTTCCTATGGAACGGAAGTTCTGCCTCGGCCTTTTCTGTCCTTCCCCTCCAGCCAGCCAAGTGGTTTACCTTACAGCTGCTGTCGTTGTAACAATACCATTTGTCGTTTGGGTTTTTGGCATAGGTGACGTAGTGACCTCCTCCCATAATTCCTGAATGGCACTGGAAGAGAAGAGACCGGAAGACGCCAAGGTTATCCCATTGATTCAAGGCCTCCATCCTTAATTAACCCGGTGCGACGGGAGAGATACCACTTTAGAAGGCGGTACAGGTAGTCCTCAACTTACAACCACAACGGAGCCCCCAAATTTCTGTCGTTCAGTGAATTTTGCCTCAACTTGACGAGTTCCCTTGTCACAGTTGCTAAGCCAAACACTGCGGTTTGTTAAGTTGATAACACAGTTGTTAAGTGAATGTTGGCTTCCCCATTGACTTTGCTTGTCAGGTGATCACGTGACCCCCCCCCCCGAACACGGCAACTGTCATAAATGTGAGACGGTTGCCAAGCATCCGAATTTTGATCATGTGACCATGGGGATGCTGCCATGGTCGTAAGAGTGAAAAATGGCCGTAAGTCCCTTTTTTCAGTGCCGTTGTAACTTCGAGCGGTTACTAAATGAACGGTTGTAAGTCGAGGACTGTTATCTTCTCCAAGGTGCTTTTCCCAAAAGGCCATTGGACTTTCTTGAGTTATTTTCTTTCTTTCTTTGAAAACCTTTCGCTTCCGATCCAAGAAGCTGCTTCGGTTCTTCTTGGATGAGAACTGAAACGTCTTCAAGGGGAAAAAACCCCCAAGAAAGTCCAATTGCCTTTTGGAAAGTATCTGTTCTGTCCCAGCCTGTGTGAGTCCTGGTTAAGTTCACAAAGAGAAACCCCTCTTCCAACAAGCAGGCTGGAACTGCAGGAAAAAACCAAAAACCCCTTTTATTATTCACAGACCTGAGTCAATTTCCAAAGCAAACAAAACACAGTCCACAGAAACTCAATTGCCTTCAGCAACCAGCATCTCCCAACACCTTCCCTTTTACTTTGCAGCCAAGGCATGGCTTCCTAATGCCTTCTCCTTTGCCTTTGGAGCCGCCCCATTGCATTCCTCTGTCCTACTCGCTTCTCGTGCATCCTGGATATCTCTCAGCTGTGATTCATCACTGTTCAACTCGGACTCCCAGCACAGCTGTGTCTCAGCCTGAGCGCCAGTAGAGGGGCCAGGCGTCTCGTCAGACTGTAAGTCTTGGAGCTCCTCAGAGCCTCCTCTGACTCCAATGTCACTCCAGGCCCCTCCTCCTTATCTGAGTCCTCAGACTCAGCTGCCGGATCCACAGGCTGGCGAGGAATCACAACAGTATCTTTGGGACAAACATGACCTGGATGATTGAGAATCTCCATAGACCTTGCGTCTTCTCACTTTTATGCATTTCAAAAGTTCCTCAAGACCCAGCAGCCTTCAACAAACCTGCTGACCAGTAGGCAAAGAACGGCCTTGATGAGCAAGAGCGCTTGGAGAGATGGTCTTCCAGCAGCTGAGTGATGCTGGAGAAGACCTGCCTCCAGAAGCGGTGAATGCTGAATCCCCAAGGTTAAGAAATACCACACCGTTAATCATACAGAAAGGGCAGATTGACTAACTGCAAAACCGGACAGAAAACCCATTCCTTGTATCCCGATCGGCTGATAGAAATAATTATGACGACTAAATCTGGATAGAAACTGCTGGACCCTCTACCCTTCCTTTTGGGGTGCTTTAAGTGCACCCCTCTGATAACCCATTTGGGTCTTTCATGCAACGGCTCGGCCTAAATCTCAGCTGGGAAAAAAAACCCCACCTGATCCGAGGCTTCATCCAGATGGCCACTGTTGCTTTGATACTTACCGAAATTGCATATAAGTTGTAAATGGGATTAATACAGATTTCTCCTCTTTGGTCATCGGCCAGTTCCTCTTCCCGGCGGGCTTCCAGTGGACCGTTGAGACTGTGGTTGCTGGGGGAGCTCAGCTTGCAAAGGTATCCGTTGGTTAGCTGCCCCTCATTGTCCTGAGCAGCCACCGGTTCGCCTGAACCGTCCCCCAAATTCTGCTGCTGCTCTCTCCCCGGGGAGTCAAGCGTGGCCTTTGGATCTGGCTGGGTACCGTTCTCACGACTTGCGTCCAGGTTTTCTTTACTGCTCGACAGTTTGTTTTTACATAGCTGGGGGAGCCGAAGGCGCCCCTTACTTCTGCCCGTAGTCCTGGGGCTACTGGTGGGACTCAGGTTTTTACCTGTCGAAGAGCTGGACGTGCACTTCCTCGTGGAGGACGGTGACGCTGGAAAGAAAGAGACGGGTGAGTGCTTTGCAGATGAATCAAGTGTTTTCCAACCTTGGCTACTTTTAAGAGGTGTGGACATCCACTCCCAGAATTCCTCAGCCAGCCATGCTGGCTGAGGAATTCTGGGAGTTGAAGTCCACGCCTCAGAAACTGGCCAAGGTTGAGAAACACTGAAATAAATCAATCCTCCTCACCTTGATAACAAGCAACAACAGCTTCTTATTAGGTAAGACTTATTAGGTAAGGCTGCAAAAAACCCAATCAGGCTGGTTGCTTTCTCTTATCTCAAGCTACCTCACAGGGCTGTTATAGAGAAAAAGGAATACCTTGAGATAATTTTGTACCCTGCCTTTATTATTTTTTAGAAATAACTCCAAGCTGCAAACATCTCCAACATACTTTCCCCCTCCTATTTTCCTCACAACAAGATCCCTGTGAGGTGGGTCGGATTGAGAGCAAGTGACTGGCCCAAGGTCACCCAGCTGACTTCCATGCCTAAGGCGGGACTAGAACTCACCTTCTCCTGGTGACTGGTCCAAAATCACCCAGCTGGCTTTCATGGCAAAGGTGGAATTAGAACTGGGGTCTCCGGGTTTCTAGCTGGTGCCTTAACCACTAGGCCAGGGGTAGGTAGACTTATGAACTGTCACAAGTCAAGGACTATCTGTACCTTGAACTCTCAAGCTTCCTCCTTCTATAATATTCAAAATGGACAGTATTTAATATTTATGTCTTATGTATATGTAGGGGTGTGGGTTTATACCAGGGGTAGGCAACTTTGGCTCTTTTATGACTCGTGGACTTCAACTCCCAGAATTCCTGAGCCAGCCATGCTGAGGGGAAGGGAGAGGTTTCCAAGCTGAGCCATGCCGGCTCAGGAATTCTGGGAGCTGAAGTCCACATAAAAGAGCCAAGGTTGCCTACCCCTGCACTAGGCCAAACTGGCTCTCTTGTAGATTATTTTGAGTGTCCAGAGGAAAAGCGGGGTTTATCAGATAGATTAGATAGGTAAGTTGGTAGGTAGGTAGGAAGTAAAGAAGATGATCTTGTCAGATGAGTTGTATAAGTAAAACGAGTTGAAACGTTTTTTAAGTCCAGGATGTCCAAATAACTTGTGGAATTCGTTCGGACAGACACTTTCCTAATTCACTGATGTATAAGGAGGAGCACCTTCAGACCTTCACGATCCTGTTGTTATAGCTAATCTCCATACAAGCAGTGTTAGCTTTCCTGTGGGATTGTTGTCCTGCAATTTCTAAATAGATTGTTGGACCTACTTAGTGGGGCTGATGTGGATGGATTGACGGGTGGATGGACAGGAATTGGTTTGCTGGGTGCTCTCCTCTCTCCCTCCACGAGCGCAAAGAAGTCTCGTTGGGATCGTTTCAGTGGGATGTTTGGAGATCGTGTGGCTCCTTTCAATTTAGAGCAGTGGTAGCGAACCTATGGCACGGGTGCCAGAGGCGGCACTCAGAGCCCTCTCTGTGGGCACGCGCGCCGTTGCCCCAGTCCTAGGCCTTCAGCTGGGTTTTATAAAACCTTTTCGCTTTACGCCTCCACCTCCGTGTACAAAAAAAAGGTTCAATCAGTCAATTTCAACTTCTCGCAGGAAAAAAAAAAAGGTCTTGCAAAGTTGGAATTGATTGATTGAACTTTTTAGTCCCACCCAGTCTGCTGTTACCACCGCAGCCACACCCACCTAATGGGCCACACCCACCCAATGGGCCACACCCACCCGGGCCCCGATGATGCATAAGTGGGTTTTGGGTGGCAGTTTGGGCACTCAGTCTCTAAAAGGTTCGCCATCACTGATTTATGGAAAGGCCCTTGCTTTCACAAAAGAACATCAGTTTCCTCCAAAAGATGCACTTTTGGACTGGGTGGGCCTGGCACCCAAAGCTATAACTCATGCAGAGGCATAATGCACGCCCTCTAGTGGTCAATCCATATATTTACAACCTTTTTATGGCAGCCCCAGGTCTGTGTTGGTGTTCAGTTGCTAAGTCATGTCTGAATGTTCGCAATCTCATGGACCCCCCCACACACTGCAAGTCAATGATGTACATTAAATCCACCCCAAACAAACCCCTGTATGACTTAAGATAGTGTGTGAATGCAATCTCTGTGGCCTGTTCAACACACCCTGGCCAAAATAAGGAGAAACTTCCTGACAGTGAGAACAATTAACTCAGTGGAACAACCTGCCTCCAGAAGTGGTGAATGCACCAATGCTGGAAGTTTTTAAGAAGAGATTGGACAGCCATTTGTCTGAAATGGTATAGGGTTTCCTGCCTGAGCAGGGGGTTGGACTAGATGACCTCCAAGGTCCCTTCCAACTATTATTATTATTATTATTATTATTATTATTATTATTATTATTATTATTATTATTATTATTATTATGCAGTTCTGCTGTAAGTTGACTTCAAGAGTTGGGGTACAGGTAGTCCTTGCATTACAACAATTCATTTGGCAACTGTTTGATGCTACAATGGCTCTAACACAAGTGGCTTACAGCCAGTCCTCGTACTTATGCCTGTCATAGCATCCCCACAGTCAGGTGATCAAAATTCTGGCACTTGCAGCTTGCTGGGGGGTCATGTGACCTTCCCAGCCAGCTGCTGACTAGCAAAGACAACGGGGGAAGCAGGATTCCCTTAATGACCATCTGGTTCACTTAACAGCAGCAATCCATTTAACAACCGTCACAAAAGATTGTAAAATTGGGTGTGACTCATTTAACGACCGCCTTGTTGAGCAATAGAAATGGTCGTACATTGAGGACTTCTTGTAGATTCCCTTCCCCACGGGGTCCAAGCAACTCTTATTTAGCGCCCTGTGGGACAAGGCCTCGGTCTCCTACCTCTGACGTTATTTAAGATGCCCGAAGCGTTGAGGGAGGATGGGCTCCGGGTGAGGAGGACGTCTCCCTCCCCGGCCACAGTGCCGCCCCGCTGCTCCGCTCTCTGAGATTCCTCTGGCACTATCAACAGCTCCGTGGGATCGTCAGCCTGCGGCGTCAGCAGCTTTGGCGGCCAACAGCTCGGATCTCGCGGCATGAGGAAGGCACTTGGGTCAAAGCTCTCCCGAGGAAACTTGACAATTTTTTGGGACTTTATCCAGCGGCCGTTGACAAACTGGAAGCGCTTTAAGTGAATGATCTGGAGCAAGACAAGCAAGAGAGGAGTCGGCTGGGGGCTCCCTTGCTCAAATAATCCAACCCTGGCAAGCCTTGTGGACTTCAATTCCCATAATCCCCTAGCCAGCCAACATGTCTGGCAGAGGTGTCCAAACTTGGCAACTTTAAGACTTGTGGACTTCAATTCCCAGAATTCTCCAGCCAGCCAGCATGGCTGTTCTATCCCAGCCTATAGCCGTCCTTGTTAAAGACACAAGGACCAAACCCCTGTTGGTAAAATAGGCTGGAGACTTTAAAACAAAACAAACCCCTTTTAATATGGGTGAGAAACTTGCCAAATAGTCCAAAACACAAACAGCAAAACTCAATCCAAATGAAGGAACTAGTCCACAGGAAACACGATGCAAACAGAAGAGAAGTCACAAGCAAGATGAACAGACCAGGATCCAAAGAAGTACTTTGCAAACGGTTGCCTTCAGCAACCAGCACCGCCCACACCTCCTCTTTTTATACAGCAGTCCCAAGGCGTTGCCTCTCAGTGCCTTCTCCTTTTACCCTGGAGTTGCCGTATTGACTGCTGCTGATTTACTCTCGCTAATTGACGACGTGTGCGTGCATCGATTAGCATGTCCATCAGGTGTGAGTCCTCTGAGTCTGACTCATTCTCCTCATACAGTTGAGCTTCATCAGGAACACGACTGGAGGGCCCAGGCTCTGCATCAAACCGTGAGTCCTGTAATTCATCAGAGCCTCCCTCTGCCCCTGATGGCCCTTCAAATGCCTCCTCCACCTCCTCCTCAGATTCCTCAGACTCAGCTGTTGGGAGCACAGGCTGGCACGGAATCACAATAATGGCTAGCATCTATAGCAGAGGTGTCCATCTTGGCAACTTTAAGACTTGTGGACTTCAATTCCCAGAATTCTTCAGTCGGCCAGCATGGCTAGCATCTATGGCAGAGGTGTCCAACCTTGGCAACTTTAAGACTTGTGGACTTCCTTTCTCAGAATTCTGGGAGTTGAAGTCCACAGGTTGTAGGGTTGCCAAGGTTGGACACCTCTGGTTTAGAGGTTTGCTAGGCCCTTTTGGCATTACAGCTGGTCGCTGAATTACAATTGATTGCTTAGTGACTGTTCAAAGTTATGGCAGACACCCCCCCCCAAAGGTTCTTACAACCTGGTTCCTATGACTGTATTTCACTCAGCAATCAGCCTACATTTGCAGGTCTTTTCAATAGCAATAGCAATCCGAGTTTACATCATTTTGGGGGGTGATTTACAATGTCAGCACTATTTGCATATGGCCTCCAACAATCTGGATTCTCATTTTACTGACCATGGAAGGAGGGAAGGCTGAGTCAACCTTGAGTTGGTCAGGATCGAACTGCTGGCAGCGGGCAGAGTTAGCCTGCAATGCTGCATTCTAACTATTGCAACTCCTTTGCGGCAATCAGCTGTCACATTATCAGAGTTTATGTTTTCGCTTTTCAGCAAAAGCACCCCATAGCAAACAGTGGGTTTGCTTAGTGACTGAGATGTTTGCTTAATAGTGGTGGATTCGTTTAGCGACTGCCACGAAAAGGAACACAAAATTGGGTTGATCACATGATGACTTATTTTACAACTGTAATGGGCAGTCTTCAGTACAGTCATAAATGATATAATCTGTGGATCCTTCATGGATAGATGGATGAATGGAAGAAAGGAAGGAAGGGAGGGAGGGAGGGAGGAGGAGGAAAATGTAGGCAGGGAAGGGAAGGAAGAGGAGAGGGGAGGAAAATATAGGAAGGGAAGGGAAAAGGAAAATGTAGGAAAGGAAGGGAAGGGAAGGAAGAGGAGAGGGGATGAGTGGAGAGAAGAAAATGTAGGAAGGGAAGGGAAAGGAAGGAAGAGGAGTGGAGAGGAGAGGAAAATGTAGGAAAGGAAGGGAAGAGAAGGAAGAGGAGAGGAGAGGGGAGGAGTGGAGTGGAGCGAAGAGGAAAATGTAGGAAGGGAAGGGAAGGAAGAGGAGAGGGGAGGAGTGGAGTGGAGTGGAGCGAAGAGGAAAATGTAGGAAGGGAAGGGAAGGAAGAGGAGAGGAGTGGAGAGGAGAGGAAAATGTAGGAAAGGAAGGGAAGGGAAGGGAAGGAAGAGGAGAGGGGAGGGGAGGAGTGGAGAGGAGAATGTAGGAAGGGAAGGGAAAAGGAAAATGTAGGAAAGGAAGGGAAGGGAAGGAAGAGGAGAGGGGAGGAGTGGAGAGGAGAGGAAAATGTAGGAAGGGAAGGGAAAGGAAGGAAGAGGAGAGGAGTGGAGAGGAAAATGTAGGAAAGGAAGGGAAGAGAAGGAAGAGGAGAGGGGAGGAATGGAGTGGAAAATGTAGGAAGGGAAGGGAAAGGAAGGAAGGAAGAGGAGAGGAGTGGAGAGGAAAATGTAGGAAAGGAAGGGAAGAGAAGGAAGAGGAGAGGAGAGGGGAGGAGTGAGTGGAGAGGAAAATGTAGGAAAGGAAGGGAAGAGAAGGAAGAGGAGAGGAGTGGAGAGGAGAGGAAAATGTAGGAAAGGAAGGGAAGAGAAGGAAGAGGAGAGGAGAGGAATGGAGAGGAGAGGAGAGGAAAATGTAGGAAAGGAAGGGAAGAGAAGGAAGAGGAGAGGAGAGGAAAATGTAGGAAGAGAAGGGAAAAGGAAAATGTAGGAAAGGAAGGAAAGGGAAGGAAGAGGAGAGGGGAAGAAAGGAAAATGTAGTAAGGGAAGGGAAATGTAGTAAGGGAAGGGAAGGAAAATGTAGGAAGGGAAGGGGAAAGGAAAATGTAGGAAAGGAAGGGAAGGAAAATGTAGGAAGGAAAAGGAAAAGAAAAAGACAGTCCTTGTCAGAAACCTCCTCAGCGTGGCCTGGCTGAAGGCAGAAAAGAGACAACCTGCCGGCCTACCAGGATTGGGGGAAGCCTCCACAGGTCCAGCTTCTTGGTGGCCAGGCAGTGGGTCCTGCACTTTGAACAATAGTACATTTCATCTTCGCCCAGCTCTTCCTCACTGGTGAAGGCCCGCAAGCAGCTGTCCAGGTTGATGGGCTCGGCCTGAGCCCGCTGGCTCTGCTCCACGCTTCTGTGCTCCTCTGCTATCTAAAGACAGGAAGGAAGCCGAAGGGTGAGAGAGCTTTCTGGAGCCCCCACCCCTTTCTTCTGATCCACATGCAGAATAACACACCACTCCACAGGGGTCCTTGGGGAGGAAAACCTTATTTCGGAGATCCCTAACTTTGGCAACTTGACAATTTGTGTCCCAAGGAGGCTTTTGCATGAGGCAACTGGACTTCCTTGTTTTTCTTTGAAGACGTTTCTCATCCAAGAAGCTTCTTCGGCTCTGACTGCACGGTGGGGAATGGAAGGGTTTTTATACTCCTTGCAGACAGCTGGTGATTTGCATCCTTTTAGAACAGTGGTGGCGAACCTATGGCACGCGTGCCAGAGGCGGCACTCAGAGCCCTCTCTGTGGGCACGCGCGCCATGCCCCAGAGATGGCAACTGTCCCTCTTCAACCAGCCGCCTGCTAATTCATCGAGGTCCCACATGGCTGGATGCATCCCAGCACCCATGTGCTCGCTGGCCTTTGTGTGGAGGGGCCGATGGTGTCAGGCAGCAGCCACCCCGGGCCTTGCCTCCCCTTGCCCTGTGACAATGGCACCCCCGCCCTGCCTCACCTTGCCTCGCCTCACCCCGCAGGACGAGCCTCCTGTCCACCACCCCACCTGCCAGAGACCCCCTGGATCTCCCCCAACCCTGCCCGCCCCCCACAGGCGTCCCTCCCCACAAGCAACATTGAGGTGATTATGCCCACCTTGGCCACACTCACCCAATCTGCCGTGACTACCACAGCCACGCCCACCCAGTGGGCCACGCCCACCTGGCACCCGGTGATAAATAAGTGGGTTTTGGGTTGCAGTTTGCACTCGGTCTCTAAAAGGTTCGCCATCACTGTTTTAGAAAGTCGTTCAGGCAACCTGGTGGTTTATCTGTGACCTCAGGATCACCTGAGTAGTGCAAAATCCAAAATGTGGACTTTGGACAGAGAGGACCGCTGGTTTGAAAGAGAGGGTCAAAGGGGCCATCTAGGTCAAGACTGAACAGCCCTCCCTCAACAGAGGGGGAGGGACATGACATCGTCTATCTCCAGTCTACAACACGGTCCTTTCAGCGGTTCCAAGAAGGCTCCACACACATTTGCACCACTCAGGTGACCCTGAGGACGCAGACAAACCTCCAGGTGGCCTCAACGACTCTCTAAAAGAATGCAAATGACCAGCTGCCTGCAAGAGTATAAATCCTTCCACCATCCAGTCAGAGCTGAAGAAGCTTCTTGGATGAGAAGCAAAACACCTTCAAGGAAAAACAAAGAAAGCCCAGTTGCCTCATGAAAAGCACCTTTGGGACAACCATGAACTGGATGACTGAGAATCTCCATGGACATTTATGACTTGTGGACTTCAGTTCCATACTGGCTGAGGAATTCTGAGAGCTGAAGTCCACAAGTCATAAAGTTGACAAGTTGGAAAGAGAGAGAGAGAGAATCTCTCAGGATATATCTAGCAGTTACAGCAAGATTCCATCAGGGTAGGCAACCTTGGCTCTTTTATGACTCGTGGACTTCAACTCCCAGAATTCCTGAGCCAGCCAAGCTGAGGAGAAAGGGAGAGGATTCCATGCTGAGCCATGCTGGCTCAGGAATTCTGGGAGTTGAAGTCCACAAGTCATAAAAGAGCCAAGGTTGCCTACTGCTGCATGAGGCGTAAGCAAATAAAGAATTGGACACAAACTGGATTTCAGTGTGTGGTCTCTGGGTTTGAGCCCAGCAAAGCAAACCTATACAGGAAGTCCTCAATTTATAACCATTCATCCAGTGACCTTTCAAAGTTACAATGGAACCAGGAAAAAAAAAAGGAACTTATGACTGTTTTTACGACCATCGCAGCATTCCTTGGGTGACGTGATCTAAATTCAGATGCTTCGCACCTGGAATGTATTTATGAAGGTTGGAGGATTCTGGGATCACGTGATTCTCCTTATGCAATCTTCTGACGAACCAAGTCAATAAGGGGGCCTGATTTGCTTAACAACCATGTTACTAACAGCCACAGGGATTCATTTAAGATCTGCGGCCAGAACGGTCGTAAAGTGGGGCAAAGTTAACATCTGTCTGGCTTAGCAATGGAAATGCTGGGCTCCCTTGTGGTTGTTAAGCCGAGGACTATCCGTGTGCCACCACAAGAAGGAAAAGGCCTGGGATTACACCGCAGGCTGTGGTTTCTTTACCCGTTCTTGTGAGGTCTGGTAGCGGAGATGAAGCGCGGTGGGGTCCCAGTCGACAGCAAGGTTTGCATTCCCCATCAGCGCTCGCTCTTCGGTGCAATCGATTTTACACCCGTAGCAAAACCTAAATGGGAGGTGGAGACGGCCAGAGACGGTGAACGCCGGGCAAGAGAGGAACCGTATTCCTGCAATGGGACTGGCCCCTCCCACTTACACCAGCAGGAGGGGCAAACTCTGGACCCCGTCAGTCAAGGAATTCCGGCTGGTGGGGTCCAAGAGAAGAGCCTTTTTGGCTGTGGCTCCCGCCCTCTGGAACATGGTGCCCCTCGAGGCGGGACCCGCCCCTCCTGCCTTCCGGAAAGGCCTGTAAACCTGGCTCTGCCAATTGTCTGGGGCCCTGATTGGGCCATTAACGGATTAAAAGAAGACTCCCCCTCTCTCCTGTTATATATTGATTCTTTCCTTAGCTTTTTTTTTGTTAATTTTAATGTTAATAGTGTTTTAATATTTTATATTTTATATTGTTATTTTTTTATGTGAGTAAGCCACTCAGAGTCACCTAATACAGCAATGAGAGGCATATAAATTTATAGATGGATGGATGATAGGGGTAGGTAGGTAGGTGGATGGGTGATAGGGATGAATGGATGAATGGGTAGGTGAGTAGGGAGGGAGGGAGGTGGGTGGATGGATGGATGGACGGACAGACAGACAGACGGACGGATGGATGGATGGATAGATGGATGGATAGGCAGGCAGACAGACAAGTGGGTGGATGGATGAGATAGATAGATAGATAGATAGATAGATAGATAGATAGATAGATAGATAGACAGACAGACAGACATACAGACAGACGGCAGACAGACAGAGGGGTAAGAGAGGGAGAAGAGATCAAACCCAGCAAAGCTCACCTGTACCAGGGGCACCAGGCACAGGAGTTGCCATCTTTCTGAACCACCCGAAGGGTGAAGGGGTACTGATATCCCAAGCTGTCATCGCTAAGGAAAACACACAAACACACACATCATTATTTCTCACGTGTAAAGACTCTTCAGATTTTATTTCTGCGGCTGTTCACTGATCTTTTAAGCCTTGAGGGGGGGGGGAACTGGCAAACCTGGGACTCCTTTCAAGAATCCTCAACGCAGGCTTTTGACAAGCTGATTGGTTTTTGATTCAGTCCCATTTGGTTTGGACGAAAGCTGAAAACAGATTATCCCCCATAGCCCTGCAGACCTGTCCAGGGCCACAATAATCATCAAGAGCAGAGGTTCCCCAACCTTTTGAGCACCAGGGACCAGTTCTATGGAGAAAGGTTTTTCCGTGGACCGGAAGGGGTGTGGTTTTGTGTGCGACCTGCATCCCATGGATGGGGCTTTGCTTGTTTGTGCAGACTGGTTGCTGGCAGGCCGCAGCCCGGGGTTGGGGACCCCTGATCAAGAGTGTTTAATCCAGGGGTGGGGAACCGTGGGCCTTTAATGACTTTTGGACTTCAGCTCCCAGCTGGCTCAGGAATTCTGGGAGTTGAAGTGCACAAGTCATAAAAGGGCCGTGGTTTCCCAGCCCTGGTTTAACCTATGCCGTTTTCTGATGCAGGTTTTGTTTTTTTTGTTTTTTTTTGCTATTACAGCAACAAGTGTTGGCAGATTGCCGGTCCGCTAGCCAACGTTCTTCTAGGTCAGTGGTTCTCAACCTTTTTAATGCCGTGACCCCCCAACCGGTCGTAAGTCGAGGACTACTCAACCAGTCGTAAGTCGAGGACTACTCAACTGGTGCAGCACCGTTTGCACTCAACTGGTGCAGCACAGTTTGCAGAATGGGGCTTTTGGCGGGCTCAGCAGGGCAGAGACAGCCTGGACAATTCCTATTGGCTTTTGAAAGCCAATAGACTTAGACTCTATTCAAGAGAGTCTATTCTATTGGCGTTCAAAAGCCAATAGAATAAAAGGGAGTAGCACAGCTAAGGAAAAGGGGGAAAAAATGGCAGACTGTGTTGTTTGGCGACCCCCGTGAAATGGTCGTTCGATCCCAAATGGGGTCCCGACCCACAGGCTGAGAACCACTGTTCTAGGTGAATGCAAACCAAGATATTTTCAAATTTCTTTTTTTCTGCCAAGATAGTCCTTGAATAGGGTACATGCAGTCCTCAATTTGCAGCCATCCATTTAGCAAGCATTTGAAGTTACGATGCCACTGGAAAAAAAAGTGATTTACAACCAGTTCTTGCATTTATGGTTGCAGCATTCCCCAGAGTCACAGGATTAAAATGTGGGCGCTTAGCAACCGGCATGCATTTACAAGGACTGCAGCATCCCAGAGTTACGTGACCGCCATTTGTGACTTTCCCAGCCGGTTTCAGACTAGCAGTCAATGGGGGAAGCCGGATTCGCTTAACGGCCACATGCTTTGCTTAACAACTGCAGTGGTTCGCTTATCAACCGTGGGAAAGAAGGTCAGGTGGGATTAACAGACGACACCTTGCTTAGCAATGGAAATTCTGGCCCTATTGTGGTTGTAAATTGAGGACTATCTGCATACGGCACGTTAAATTTTATATGATTTACTCTTTTCTCATTTGTGACTTTCTGAGTTAAAAGGCCTTACTGAAGTATAACAGAGACATTTGCCGAACATCATATGTCAGAGGTCCCCAACCTTTTGGGCACCAGGGACCGGTTCATGGAGAGAGTTTTTTCCACAGACCGGAGGGTGCGTGGTTTTGTGTGCTACCTGCATCTCATGGATGGGGCTTTGCGTTTTTGTGCGGACCAGTTGCTGGCATGCCGTGGTCCAGTACTGGTCCACAGATCGGAGGTTGGGGACCCCTGTCATAATTTTCTCTCTCACCCGCTCAGAGATCTTAAATTAAATAAAGATTGAAAATGTCTAACCAGTCATCTAGTGCAGCGGCCCCCAAACTTTGGAGCATCAGGGACTGGTTTTGTGGAGAGAGGTTTTTCCACGGATCGGAGGTGGTGTGGTTTCGTGTGCTGCCTTCATCCTGTGGATGGGGCTTCACTTGTTTGTGCAGCCCGGTTGCTGGCATGCCGTGGCCATGGATTAGGGCAGTGGTGGCGAACCTATGGCACGGGTGCCAGAGGCGGCACTCAGAGCCCTCTCTGTGGGCACGCACGCTGTCGCCCCAGTCCTAGGCCTTCAGCTGGGTTTTATAACCTTTTCGCTTTAGGCCTCTGCCGCCATGTGCAAAAAAAAAAGGTTCAATCAGTCAATTTCAACTTCTTGCGGGAAAAAAAAAGATCTTGCAAAGTTGGAATTGATTGATTGAACTTTTTAGTCCCACCCAGTCTGCCATTACCACTGCAGGCACACCCAGCCAATGGGCCACACCCACCCGGCACCCGACGATGCATAAGTGGGTTTTGGGTTGCAGTTTGGGCACTCGGTCTCTAAAAGGTTCGCCATCACTGGACTAGGAGTTGGGGGCTCCTGATCTAGTGAGCTTCAAGACTGAGAACGTGGATTTGTCAGCTGAAGGCCAAAACAGTGGTACCTCACTTTTCATCTTAATTGGTTCTGGGTGGTACCAAACAAATTTTTACCATAAGGAATAATGGGCAGCTGACACCGACAAATTCTAGCTTGAGTACCAGGATGAAATTTTGGGTCAAAATGCGCTGAGTACCAAATTCGATGAGTTGCAAAGCAGTCGCGTACCAAGGCACCACTGTACTCCAATAAGCCATAGGGGCTTTTCTTGTCACTTATGCAGCTTGGCTTACTTCTCTGAGATGTTCAAAACTGCCACCCTGCAGGTCTATTAGTGCAGTGAGCCCTTGGTGCTCTATGAACCCAGTTGTTGTCTTGCAGATGTTTCATTACCCAGCTAGGTCACATCAACGGTGCTAAAAGGGCAAACCCTTCTCCTTTCTTGCACTGATGATGTGACCTAGTTGGGTAATGAAACGTTTGCAAGAAAACAACCAGGCTCAGAGAGCACGAAGGACCCCAACCTTGAGCTACAAAATATTCTCTTCCATCAGTCCTATTAGTGGCTCAGCAGTTCCTCATTCCAGCACTGAACTCACCAGTCCTGAGCATGGTTACTGGCTTCCTGGGGAGGGAGGGGGCTTGCAAGCCGAGACACTTGAATCCAGACAGCGTCATACAAGTCTTTCTTCCTTGTGTGAACTGTGCAGGGAACAATCAGAGGCATCCCAAACAGGCTCGGCCGGTTCTTTTGAGACGAGAGGAAGTACATTTCGGCCCGCATCTGCATTCAATGGGAAAGTTTAACAACAACAAAAAAAAGCACATGTATTTTGAAAGTTAGGAACGATTTATAGACGTTTGTAAAAACATGGATGGGCTGTCTCAAATGGTGTCCAGAACCATAACAACAAAATAGTACAATGGCCCCAGTGTAATTAACACCTACTCTTTGCTTCATATTTTTATGCCTTCTATAATTTCAAAGTTTTTAATGATTAAAAAAAAATCACGAAACATAAAATCTACAAATAGATACATTGCAGTAAATGAAAACAAAGATAAGTACCAATAGTGATACGCGGCTTGGGTGTAATTCCGAAACAACGGAAGCACCCCTTGGACACCATCGTCACTGACAAAAATCTCCATCCGTCAATTGCAAAAAAGCAGCTTTATTGGAACAGCTTGCATCCTGCAAGGATGCTTTTAACTCCATCAAACCACAACACTTTTCACGATTGAAAAAGATGCCAGGCGATAGAGATTTCCAAAATCCCTCTGTGGGGGTTTGGGTAAAAGATCTGTCTTCAGTCAGTCCGTGCTTCTCCTTGTGTCCCCCGACCTCACCCTCCCAAGGATAACCCCTATCCCCAACCTGACAGGCAACCTTTTGGCACTCTGGAGATGCAGGTTAGATTGAGGAAATAGCTTCTTGTTACAACAGCATCCTTTTTCAGAATACAAGAATAACCTTGCTCAAACAAATCTTGTGGTAAGATGGGCAGTTAATACATTTAACGAAGAAAAAAATCAATAAACAAACAAACAAACAAACCACAAGGCTACTGGATCCATGCCTCAGTTTTTTGCCCAAGAGGTCTGGAAATCTCAACAGCTTTGGACAAAGTCACTCAGCCAAACTGTGATCCCAATCCAGGGTTGCTGGCTAATCCTTTAGTGCAGCTGTCCCCAATCTTTACAGCATGGCAGCCCAGCAAAGAAGGAGAGAAGGGAACCAGCACGAGTGAGCACTGACTCGCTGCTCATGCACGTGCATACACACCAGCCCACTGCTCATTGAAGTCAAGCTGTGTGTATGTGTGTGTGTGTTTGTGTGTGTGCATGCTGGCCTGCTGCTTGTGCGGCCCGGTTCCGAACAGGCAATGGGCTGAGGCCTGGGGACCCCTGTTTTAGTGACAAGAGTGACTATCCAACAGAGGGATCTTTTTGAAGCCCACCCCCCAGATCGACAAGCAAATGATCCCAGCATGGTACAGATTATCTCTGAATCCCAGATATACTTTCCCAACAGCTGGCGGTCCTCTGAAGGTGTAGCTACTTCATCTGAAACGGACAAAAAGCATCTTATTGATTTGGGCAATGCTTGTTCTGCACTAACCATTTTCCTGTGGACTGCAATGATGTAGCCTATGAAGGGGCTGTCCGAAGGCGAGGTCACATGGCCGTTCATCATCATACCGTTCTCCACCCTGCAGGGCACCACTGTGTTCGGCATTCCGTTTGGGATCAAGGTTGACCGCGGGAGGTCACCGTTCATCAGACAGTTGATCATCCCGTTAGTCGACTGTCCATGGTAAAAATCTAAAACTCAAGCACGAAGAGGCTGTTGTAGAAATAGGTCCTGGTAGGAAGCTAATTTTACACACAGAATAGAACAGAATACAATAGAACAACAGAGTTGGAAGGGACCTTGGAGATCATCTAGTCCAACCCCCTGCTCAGGCAGGAGACCCTATACCATTTCAGACAAATGGCTGTCCAGTCTCTTCTTAAAAACTTCCAGTGTTGGAGCATTCACCGCTTCTGGAGGCAGGTTGTTCCACTGGTTAATTATTCTAACTGTCAGGAAGTTTCTCCTTAGTTCTAGGTTGCTTCTCCCCTTGATTAGTTTCCATCCGTTGCTTCTTGTCCTGCCTTCAGGCGCTTTGGAAAATAGCTTGGCTGCCTCTTCTTTGGGGCAGCCCCTGAGATACTGGAAGACTGCTATCATGTCCCCTCTCGTCCTTCTCTTCATTAAACTAGACGTACCCAATTTCAGCAACCGTTCCTTGTAAGTTTTAGCCTCCAGTTCCCTAATCATCTCTGTTGCTCTTCTCTGCTCTTTATTGCTCTTCTCTGCTTAAGCTCTTCGCTTAAGGATCATTTTTGATCACTAGCTGGGTAAAATCTCTAGCTCAGCGGTTCTCAACCTATGGGTCGCGACCCCATTTGGGGTCGATCGCCCATTTTTCGGGGGTCACCAAAGGCGGCGCTCTGCCATTTTTCGCGGTGCTGTGCACGCGTGCCGCACATGGGGGCGGCGCCGTGCATGCGTGCCGCGCATGGGGGCGGCACCGTGCACGTGCACCGTGCATGGGGGGAGCGCTGCGCACCGCGCATGGGGGGCCGCCGTGCACGCGCACCGCACGTGGGGGGCCGCCGTGCACGCGCGTTGCGCATGGGGCGGCGCTGCACATGCGTGCCGCGTGTGGGGCCCCGCCCCCATGCGCGCGGCCCGGCGCATGCGCAGAACGTTTGTGTGACGGGGGTCGCCGTCACACAAACGTTGAGAAGCACTGCTCTAGCTCCTCCTTCATAAGGAGACCTGTTTTCTTTACTAGACTGTAAAAAGAGAACATACTATTTAGTCTTGCTCACATATTGTCTTATTCTATGCCGGGCTTCTCGGCATAGAATAAGACAATAAGTTAGTTCTCTACATTCTGTCACAAGACCACCTGGATTCTGCAACAAGTATTGGTTGAATGTTCCTCATTCACAAAGTGTATCCTGACTGTGCCAGTCCCGAGAGGGCTAAAATGGAGGAGGATGGAGAGGGGGAGGAGGAAGGGGAAAGGGAGAAGAAGGAAGAAGAGGAGAGGAGAAGGAGAGGAAAAGGAAGAGGAGAAGGAGATGGAGAGAAAGATGAAAAAAAGGAGGAGTAGAAGATGGGGAAGGGGAAAGAGAAGTTCGTTTTCTATGGCAGGGCTTTTCAACCAGTGGTATGGGTACCACCTGTGGTACATTGGCACCTGGCAGGTGGTATGCAACCATCCTAGAAAAGTGGCAGCGGGGGAGGGGAATGAGCTGAACCGGTGGCAGCACCGCACAAGCCTGAGAGAGAGATGGCTGGAGCTGCAGGGCTGTGAGGGCTCAGCGGAAGCACCAGGATCAGTGCCGCTCTCCAGCTGATCGGCGCTTCTTCAGGGCTATCAAGGTTCAATGGAAGCTCCCGGATCAGCGCCAGGCTCCAGCTGGAGCTCGGCGCAGATCCTGGTGCTTCTGCTGAGCCCAGAAGAAGCACCAATCAGCTGGAAAGCAGCACTGATCCTGGCGCTTCTGCTGAGCCCAGAAGAGCCGATCAGCTGGAATGTTGCAGCCTCTCCAGGGTCTTGTGATTTACATTCAGATGCTTGGCAACTGATTCATATTTATGACGGCCACAGTGTCCCAGGGTCATGTGAAGTGACCAAAACCTGCTGCAACCACCCAGCAGACGGGGAATAAAAACCAAACACCCCCCCCCACTGCCAATCCTCAACAGAAATGCTCACAACAATGAAAACCTCGGACAGGAGGAAGAGCGCCGCCGGGTGGGCAGGCGTCTTGCTCGGCTGTGGCTTGGGGGGGGAGCACTTTTTTCAGTGCCATTGTAACTTCGAACAGTCATTAAGTGAACTGTTGTAAGTCGAGGACTACCTGCATTTTATTACTTTTTTCCTTTTTGCTTTTTTTGGTCATTAGGTTTTTGACACCTTGCTAGGCAGCTAGTGGTACTCGGATGTTGCCATATCCTAAAAGTGGTACAATGGGTGAAAAGGTTGAAAAGCCCTGTTCTATGGCAGGGCCAGTGGTTGAGAGAAACACAAAGAGGACAGCTTCGCGTGGGAACTTTTTTGTCCATCAGTTCCCATCATTCCTGCATTTTACTCAGTATTAAAGCCCTTCATTCAGTTGGGAGTGAAAGTTAAGAGCGCTCACTTTCGCTCCCAACGCTAAGCAGCAGCAACAGCAGCGCTGCCAGTTTGTCAGACAAGACTCCCAACTGGGCCGGTGTGTGTGTGTGTGTGTGTGTGTGTGTGTGTGTGTGTGTGTGTGTGGAATTGAGGCATTTCTTCCTACCTGTTTGCAAAGGACTTGAAGAAGCCGAAGTGGGGGAGCCAGGAATTGGTACCTCGAACGCGCACAAAGAAGCCGTCGTCGAATGCCGGACTTTTTGGTTGTCTAGCGGAAAGTTCTGTCGGAGGAACAACAGCAGCAACGGAAGAGATTAAAGCCGGGAGCAATTAATAATTAAGACGACACTTCAGAGAGCTGGTAGACTAGAGGAAGCTGAGGCATTCTGTGACCGACAGCAAAGAAGAACGCTGCTCCAAAGGTGTTTGGAAACCCAGGGGAGACAGGAAAGCTGCTTCCAAAAGCACAGATGCAGCTGGCGAGAGAATTACAAAGGAGAGGGGAGCAGATTTGACTCAGCCACATCTGTTGCCTCAATAAGAGACCGTGTAATGAGCTCCCAGGATAACGCTCCTCTTTTGACGCGGCCCGTCGGATCTAAAGGATAGGCTGGGCACATCGAGGCAAACATCTCTCTATAAAAACTCAAGCTTTATTCTCTGGATCTCCTGGAAACTGCAGGACGGTGAAAGCCTCTCGTTAGGGTCTCTGCGTTAAGGCACCAAGCTGGAAAGCAGGAGACGGTGAGTTCTAGCCCTGGTTTACACATGAAAGCTGGCTAGGTGACTTGGAGCCAATCACCAGGAGTCGGGGTGTTCTAGTCCCATCTTAGGCACAAACTCTGTCTGGGTGACTCTGGGCCAATCAGCAAGAGACACTGAGTTCTAGTCTCGCTTTAGACATGAAAACCAGCTAGATGACTTGGAGCCAATCACCAGGAGACTGTGAGTTCTAGTTCTGCTTTAGACATGAAAGCCGGCTAGGTCACAGGTCGGCAACCTGCGGCTCCGGAGCCACATGTGGCTCTTTGAGCCTTCCCCTGCGGCTCCCAGCCTCCTCTGCCTTTGCAGAGAGAGACAGAGACAGAGAGAGGAATTGCGCTTCCCTGCTTCTCTCTCTCTCTCTCTGTATGTGTGTTTTTGTGTGTGTGTGTGTGTGTGTGTGTGTGTGTGTGTGTGTGTATAAAAAAAAGAGAGTGCACTCACAGTGTTCTCTGAGCAGCTGAAAAGCTTAGTGGGCGGAGCTCCTCCCTTTGCTGCGTCTCTGCAGGAAGCAGGAAGGGCAGGAGAGAGCTAGCTAGCCCAGCTAGGCTGACTCAGGAATTCTGGGAGTTGAAGTCCATGAGTCATAAAAGAGACGAGGTTGCCTACCCCTGATCTTGTTGGACAACAGCCTGAAGCTTGTCAGGTGAGCAGCAGATAGGAGAGGGGGGGGGGAGAAAGAGAGAGAGGGAGAGAGAGAGAGAGAGAGAGAAAGAGAGAAAGAAAGAGAGCGGGGAAGAGGAGTGGCAGACCAAGGGCAGATAGAGAGGGAGAGAGAGAGAGAGACCCTTTTGACATCTAAAATGAAGATAACACTGCATATATCCTTTTTTTACCTGTGTGTGTGTGTGTGTGTATGTATGTATATATATATATACATACATACATATACATATATATATACACACACACATACATACACACACACACACACAAACACACACACACCTATAATAAAGGTAAAAAAGGATATATGCAGTGTTATCTTCATTTTAGATATCAAAATGGTTTTGCGGCTCCCAGTGTTTTGTTTTTGGTGGGAAACGGGTCCAAGTGGCTCTTTAAGTGTTTTGGGTTGCCTACCCCTGGGCTAGGTGACTTGGAGCCAATCACCAAGAGACAGTGAGTTCTAGTCCCACCTTAGGCATGAAATGTGTCTGGGTGACTCTGGACCAATCACCAAGAGACAGGGAGTTCTAGTCCCGCTTTAGACATGAAAACCGGCTGGATAACTTGGAGCCAATCACCAGGAGACTGTGAGTTCTAGTCCTGCTTTAGACATGAAAGCCGGTTAGGTGACTTGAAGCCAATCACCAGGAGACAGGGAGTTCTAGTCCCACCTTAGGCATGAAATGTGTCTGGGTGACTCTGGGCCAATCACCAGGAGACAGGGCGTTCTAGTCCCGCTTTTTACATGAAAACCGGCTGGGTGACTTGGAGCCAATCACCAGGAGACTGTGAGTTCTAATTCTGCTTTAGACATGAAAGCCGGCTAGCTGACTTGGAGCCAATCACCAGGAGACAGGGAGTTCTAGTCCCACCTTAGGCATGAAATGTGTCTGGGTGACTCTGGGCCACCTTTAGACATAAAAGCCGGCTAGGTGACTTGGAACCAATCACCAGGAGACAGTGAGTTCTAGTCTCACCTTAGGCATGAATTGTGTCTGGGCCAATCACCAGGAGACAGGGAGTTCTAGTTCCGCTTTTGACATGAAAGCCGGCTGGGTGACTTTGGGCCAGTCACTCTCTTTCAGATCAACCCACCTCACCGGCTTGTTGTTGTTGTGGAAAAAAATACAAGGAGGAAGGTTCCAAGCTTTTCTCTTTTGTAGGAGACAATTAGATTCAGTTCCCCATCTCTTTATATAGCACAGTGGTTCTCAACCTGTGGGTCGGGATCCCATTTGGGGTCGAACGACCATTTCGCGGGGGTCGCCAAACAAGGCTGTCCACCAATTTTTCCCCCTTTTCTTTGGCCATGCCTCTGGCACCCGGTGATGTATAAGTGGTTGGGGGTCACTATAACATGGGGAACCGTATTATGGGGTCGCGGCATTAGAAAGGTTGAGAACCACTGATATAGCAGCTGTGTCTCTTCTGCCTCCTTAGGGTTTCACTGAAACATACATTTCTCCAAGGGTGGTCAATTTTTGCATTCAGTTGCAGAGGCCTCATTACCTTTATGTTCGAGCTGTGTACTTCTGCAAGCAGGATCTGATCGGGCTTCAGGGCACACAGTTCACTCAGGTGCTTCTTCAGGTCAGAGTATTTCTCGTCCATATTCAGCCTGAGTCCATATCGGACAGGAGTCGTGCCATCGAGCTTAGTTACTTGAAGAAGAAAAGAAAAAAGGGAAAATGAATGGGAGAGAAAGAGAAAAAGAGAAAGTGTGTATTTTAAGACGCTTTTCACTTTATTTATTTAGTTTTATTTATCACATTTTTGGAACTGCCCATCTCCCCTCACAAAGACACTCTGGGCAGCCTACAATAAAAAAATAAAACATAAAAATAGTATGTCATGGTTCCGACAGATGAAACTCTTCAAAGAACTTCGAGGCATTGTTTACCTTAAAGAATCTTTCTTTATTCGAGAAGCATAGCATCAGCACGTACATGGTCGAAGGCAAAATCTGAATTCCCCTCCTCTTAGCACATAGTATCAAACACAATTCTCTCCTCTAGTTAACAGTCATAAATCACATTCTCCAATTGGTTTGAAATGCAGGCTTTCCCTCCAGTTCTCCAACCCGCCATTTCTTATCATCTCTTATTCCAAAAGCCCCGAGGTCACACACTATTATAATATTGTTATGTCTAACTAACTCCATCACATTCCTCCCCCCCCCAGTATCATCTAATTCTAAAGCATAAGAAAGAAAAAGACTGCATCTCCATATGTGGTCAAAGCAAGGACATCCGATGTTAGCAGCGTTGACACAGTATACAAAAGTTAAGATTTAAAAAGAGGCAATTAAAAAGGATTAAAGACAATGTTAAAAATTAATCAAAAGGCAAAAGGAGGGCTTTTAAGGTGCTAACCAGCCCAGGGCTCTGTGTTTCTCTGGGCTCCCTGTGCAAGGCCGCAGAGCCGCTATGCTTTCACCCCTTTCTGGAAGGCCAATGGTGTAGGGTTTCCTGCCTGAGCAAGGGGTTGGACTAGATGACCTCCAACGTCCCTTCCAACATTTTTTTTATTATTATTATTATGGATCATCGCAGTCAGCCAGATGTTCAGAATGGATTTGGCATTTTGTCTACCTATCGAGTTCTTACCCAGGACCTGGGATAGACAGATGTGGATGTTTGATGGTATTACAGGTATCGTCGCAGGATGGAAGCAGTTCCTAATAAGGCCGCCTTTTGCAACTGACTAATAGCGAATTTGTCAATGCCAATTGTGTTCAAGTGGTGCTCCAGTTGTTTTGGGATTGCACCCAAGGAGCCTATGACTATTGGTACTACACTTGCTTGCTTTTGCCACAGTCTTTCTATTTCTATTTGTAGGTCTTTGTATTTTGTTATCTTCTCCAGTTCTTTCTCGTCTATTCTGCTGTCTCCAGGCACTGCCACGTCCACTATCCAGACTTTTTTGTCTTTCTTATCGACAATTGTTAAGTCTGGGGTGTTATGTTGCAAGTATTATTATTATTATTATTATATGAATCACTGAGTTGTTAAGTCAGTAACGCAGTTGTTAAGTGAACCTGGCTTCCCCATGGACGTTGCTTGTCAAAAGATCGCAAAAGGGGATCACACGATCCCGGGACATTGCAGCCGTCGTAAATATGAACCCATGGCCAAGTGTCTGAATTCCGATCATGTGGCCATGGGCGATGCTGCAACGGTCGTTAAGCAAAACTCGCTTGTTGGAAGCTGGCTGGGAAAGTCACAAATGTGATCACATGACCCCGGGACACTGCAAACCGTCATAAATACACGCCAGTTTGCCCAGCGTCTGAATATTGATCACACGATCATGGGGATGCTGCAACAGTTGTTAAATGTGGAAAACAATAATGTCACATTTTTTCAGTACCGTTGTAACTTCGAATGATCACTGAATGAATGGATGTAAGTTGAGGACTACCTGTAAATAAAAATAAAAAAGCCCAACCTATTTGGAAGGTCCCAGCTGGAAAGAGATGCTCAACTCTTGGTGTTTTTCCAACAACCAAAATGGAGTCCATTTTTTACCCCAATAACCACACCAAAGGAGAGAGACTCAAGATTCCTCACTCACCTATTATTTCTATATGCATGTAACTGTCCATCGGAAGAGGCAGCGATAAAAAATTGAAAGGGTCAAAACGAACACTGATGTGCCCACAGGTCTTGCACTTCACCTGGGACCTCAGCTGACCATGAAAGAGGTCGACCACAATTGAGCGGTTCCTTCTTAAGTGGTTCTCCCAGGCCTGAAATGAAAAGGAAATCAATGTTAATACCACTTTACAAGGCCTTGGTAAGGCCACACCTGGAATACTGCATCCAGTTTTGGTCACCATGATGTAGAAAAAGATGTTGAGACTCTAGAAAGAGTGCAGACATATTGACTGCAGCGCGGATAGCATATGCTCAGTGTTGGAAGAGTGAAAATACACCCACAAATGACATGATTATGTATAAAATCTTGGAATGTGCAGAAATGAATAAACTTACACTAGAATTAAAAGACAAGGAGGCGACAGAATTTGATGAAATTTGGAATAAATGTTATAATTGGCTAGAACAGAGAAAGAAAAAGATATAATTAATGATGTAAATAAAATGTAAATAAGATGTAAAGAATGGCTAAAATGTACAGCACTGTTCTGTTAAAAGAAAAGATTTATGTTTATGTATTTTAAGGTTTTTCCAGTTGCAATGTATGGCTGTGAAAGTTGGACCATAAGAAAGGCTGAGCGCAAAAGAATTGAGGCCTTTGAACTATGGTGCTGGAGAAGACTCCTGCGAGTCCCTTGGACTGCAAGGCGTTCAAACCGGTCAGTCCTAGAAGAGATCAACCCCGACTGCTCTTTAGAAGGCCAGATCCTGAAGTTGAAACTCAAGTACTTTGGCCACCTAATGAGAAGGAAGGACTCACTGGAGAAGAGCCTAATGCTGGGAAAGATTGAGGGCAATAGAAGAAGGGGACGACAGAGAATGAGATGGCTGGATGGAGTCACTGAAGCAGTAGGTGTGAACTTAAATGGACTCCAGAAGATGGTAGAGGACAGGAAGACCTGGAGGAACGTTGTCCATGGGGTCGCGATGGGTCGGACACGACTTCGCAATTAACAACAACAACAACAATTTTAAGTTTGTTTTGGTGTATGGTGTAAAAGAAAAAAAAGAGTGCAGAGAAGAGCAACAAAGATGATCAGGGGACTGGAGGCTAAAACATATAAATGCACACTGGCTGAAGAATTCTGGGAGTTGAAGTCCACAAGTCATCAAAGGGCCAAGTTTGAAGACCCCTGCAAGTTTAAGGAATCTTCCTCTGGACTATCATTATCTGCAGGGAATCCTGCAGCTTTGGCAACCGTGGTGGTGCAATGGTTAGAATGCAGTACTGCAGACTAACTCTGCCCACAGCCAGGGGTCCGATCCTAACGGGGCTCAAGGTTGACTCAGCCTTCCATCCTTCTGAGGTTGGTAAAATGAGGACCCAGATGGTTGGGGGGGGGCCATTTGCTGACTCTGTAAACCGCTTAGAGAGGGCTCAGTGAAGTGAAGTGGTATATAAGTCTAAGTGCTACTGCTAGTGCTATTGGATATGATGGAGCTTGTTGTCTCAAGTGACAGCTAGCTACTGGTTAACCACGACAGACTGGGGCTTTCATTCTGAGAGAATGGATGCTTCCAGAGAAACCACAACACAGTAGGAAAATAAAACCTGCATTAGATGTCAGAGAGAGCCATGTATCGGCCCCAAGTCACTCACTTCTGCCGCTACCTCCCAATCCGGCCGGCCATCGCTGTCCTTCAGTTCCACATATGGCTTATCATGAACTCGGTTCAGGTCCTCATGGAGCCCATCCAGGAGAAAAGCTAAGAGCTCCTGAGAGTCTTGCTGTTGGAAGCCATTAAATCTCGGGGCGTACTTAGCTATAGTCCACTGTAACAAAGCAAAGTGGACCCAGTGGGTGTTAAGAACAGTGAGGAAGTTCACACATTGGCCAAGCTAGTTAGACAATGCTGACGGTGCATGCAAATCCAAGGCACTATTCTTGGGTAAGCCATGGCTTAACATTATGGGTGAAATCAGCCAAATGTGGCTTATTCAAAGGTAAAGGTAAAAGTTTCCCCTGTCCAATTCTAGGGGACGGTCCTCATCACTGATTTACAACCAAAGGAGCCAGCATTGTCTGAAGACACTTCCATGGTTATGTGGCTGGCATGGCTGTACACCAAAGGTGCACAGAGTGCTGTTACCTTCCCATCAAAGTGGTACCTACCCATGTTTCCCCGAAAATAAGACCAAGTCTTATTTTTTTAGGGGGGGGGGTGTCTTTTTTATTCACCTCCTGCACCGACAGCCCTGTCCAGCCGGTCCACTTCTGCAAACAAAGGAGCAGCTTCATTCGGCAGCTGCATTCTGGCCTGCATTTTGCAGTCAGGCCTTTCCGGAAGGCCTCTGCAGCCGAGTACCGAGCTATGGATTCAATCTATTGCTCGATTCTTGACTGCAGTGGCCTTCTGGAAAGGCCTGTGACTGAGAAATGCAGGCTTGGCTGCAGAAGACGCCGCAGAAGAAGAAGTGGGCTGGCGAGGAGAGGCCAGGTAAGTGGGTGCGGGACATGTGGGGTAGCTCCATCCCCCACCCCACCCCTGCCCTAGCTTGATTTTTAGGTGTGTGCCTCACCCCAAAACTAGGTCTTATTTTCGGGGAAGGTCTTACCTCATCTATGACACCGACAGCCCCACCCAGCCGGTCCACTTCTTCTGGGGCTGAAGTTCTGCAGCTGCATTCGGGCCTGCATTTTGCAGTCAGGCCTTTCCGGAAGGCCTCTGCAGCCGAGTACCGAGCTATGGATTCAATCCATAGTTCAGTTCTCGGCTGCAGTGGCCTTTCCAGAAATGCAGGCCTGGCTGTGGAAGACACCTCAGAAAAAGTGGGCTGGCAAGGAGAGGCCTGGCTGCCAGGTAAGTGGGTGCGGGGCGCATGAGGCAGATCCACACCCCCCACCCTACCTTCATTTTTAAAAGTGTGCCTCACTCCCAAACCAGGGCTTATTTTTGGGTGGGGCTTATATTAGGCCCACCCCCCCAAATCAAGCTAGGTAGGCCTTACTTTCAGGGAAACAGGGTATTTATCTACTCATATTTGCATGCTTTTGAATTGCTAGCTTGGCAGGAGCTGGGGCAAGAACGCGGAGCTCACCCTGTCACACGGTGTCTGGGTCTCAAACTGCCAACCTTCTGGTTGACAAGCCTAGTGTCCTAACCGCTAGACCTCCGTGCCTCCTTCGGCTTATTCAATCAGTCACATTTGAAAGCATTTAATAGCACCATATTGGAACGCTATGACACAACCAATGGAATGATTTCAAGGAAGCAGTTACCATGTCTGTGTGCTCCCCCACCTACTAAGGAAGATAGACTTTGTAGTCCAGATTCCACCTGGGTGCTAATTATTCTTCCCTGGATATAGTATTATCTAGGAAGGTTTATCCCATATGCCTCCCAGGAAATAGAATTTTGAAATTGTTCGGAAGTTCCATTGTAGGGTGACTCACTTCCCAAGCCTGTATATGTCAGGAAATACATGATTTTTTTCCCCTAAAATTTCCCATTTCATAATGAAGCTGCAAAGGAAGTAAGAAAGGTTATGGGGGCTTACCCTCAACTTGAGAGGAGCAATGTTCTTTTGGGTTCCACTCCACAGTTCTTGAATCAAATCCCCATAGCACTTAGCCATATGCCCCTTCATTCCTATTGGATTTGTCCTGGAATTTAGAACAAAATTCGTTCCGTCAATTATCTTTTTGGGGGCTAGCTAGGAAGGAGTGGATGGGATTTTGAAAAACAGGTAGATCTCTTCTTACAAATCCAATGGGAACTAGAACTGCCATTGCTAAACAACGTGGCCGTTAAGCAAGTCGCACCAGGGCTGAAGACCATTTTTTCCCCCCATGTCGCTAAGCAGATCATCATGGTTGTCAAAGCAAATCCAGCTTCTCCATTGACTCTGCTTGATGGAAGACCGCTAGGAAGGTGAGAGATGGGGATCATGTGACCCCGGGATGGTGCAACTCATGAGGAACGCATGTGGTTGTTAAGCACCCACTGTCTACGCTGCAAATACTGTATATTCTTGCTTTTGACAATATGTAGAATTGTCTGGTAACTATGGGGTTAATACAGAGCAGAAGGGGGGTTGGGGGTAAAGCCCGGGAAAGAAAGAGGAAGAAAACATTTCACCTTCACACTAATTGGATAATGTGAGATATGAGGGCTAATTTAGGGAGGGAACATGCTGATAATTTAACTGCTCAGAGGAAGAGAACTTAGATCCTAGCATCCCTCCGTTGTGCCTGTGCCGTCATTTTGTAACAATAAAAGACTTTTAGGAAAATAAATGCCTGGAAGTTCTTTGGAATGTTTCATTAGCCGGACCCACAACACCCATATTACTGACAAGGTGACTGTGAGGATTCTGAGAGCGTCGTAAGTGCAAGAACGAGTTACTTTTTTCAATGCTGCTGTAATTTTGAACGGTCGTTAAATGGTCGTAAAGTAAGGACGGTCTGTATGTCACCTCAGATGACAAAGGGCACCACTAGATGCTCCCTGAATATAGACAGGACAATGGCTTTACTGAACCTCCTCTTCTATTAGAGCAGTGGTTCTCAACCTGTGGGTCAGGACCCCATTTGGGGTCGAACGACCATTTCACGGGGTCGCCAAACAACACAGTCCGCCATTTTTTCCCCCCTCTCCTTAGCTGTGCTGCTCCCTTTTATTCTATTGGCTTTTGAAAACCAATAGAATAGACTCTCTTGAATAGAGTCTAATTCTATTGGCTTTCAAAAGCCAATAGGAAATGTCCACGCTGTCTCTGGCCTGCTGAGCCTGCCAAAAGTCGCATTCTGCAAACGGTGCTGCACCAGTTGAGTAGTCCTCGACTTACGACCAGTTGAGTAGTCCTCGACTTACGACCGGTTGGGGGGGGGGGTCGTGGCATTAAAAAGGTTGAGAACCACTGTATTAGATAGACTAGATTTCTACATGCAGGGATAAGATTTTGTTTTGTTTGAGTGATTTGGGGGGAACCCAGCAGAAAAACTAGGCAAGGAACAATGTTGTTATCAGAACCAGGAAGTCAGCAACAAACAAAGGCAGCCCATTTTATTTCTAGTGTATTTGTCCTCTATCTGGATCACTTTACAATATAGGCAGTCCTCAACGTATGACCAACTATTTGAAGTTATGACAGATCCTTCCAAAAGGTACTTAGGACCTGGTTTTGACAGTTCTGCCCTCCCCATGGTCATGTGACAACATGTTGGGCACTTGGCAACCAGCTTGCATTTATGGATATTCGTAGCGTCCCACAGTGATGTGACCCCGATGTACGACGTTTCTGCTGAAAACTGGCATTTATTTCCATAAATAACGTCCCATAATGAAACGGCTTCAGTTAATAACCATGGTGATTCATTTAATGACCACTGCAAAAACAGGGTCATAAAATCACATCGGTTACACGATGATCCGCTTTACAGCCATCACAACTTACGACTGTAATGGGCGGGCTCCCATTACAGTTGTTAAGTCCAGGACTACCTGTAACCACACGCGCAAACACACACACACACACACACACACACACACACACACACACACACACGCCATCACAACCGCTCCTGTTCATATTTCAATTCCTCCTTGAGTCACGGATGAGAACTACCTGTTCAGCTCATACAGGTGTCGGCCGGAGATGAAATACTGGGTGAGAGGTTGAGTGTTACTGACGCACTGGATGCTCGAATTCATGAAGCAGGTGTTGCCCAAGTTGCTTAAGCCTGTGGCCCCTTTTTCGGTGGGAACTGGAAGGATGGAAGAAATGATGGAAATCAGCAGGACGTTAACGATGAATAATTATAAATCGTTCAATAATGATAATAAACACTATATCCATGCTGGCGGCGGTTTCTGGATTGTTGGCAGATTCCATCTCCCCACCTGTCCATCATTTTGGTGATCATATTGATACCGTATTTCCCCGAAAATAACACCCACCCAGAAAATAAGCCCTAGCCTGATTTTTTTAAGGATGCTATTAATATAAGTCCTACCCCCAAAATAAGCCTGCGGGGGGTGAACATGGCCAGCACAGGAGGCAGCGAGCATTTATTTCCATTTTTTTGGCAGGTGGCTGTGCAGTGTTCCAATACCTCAGGGGCTGCCCCAAAGAAGAGGGAGTCAAGCTGTTCTCCAAAGCGCCTGAAGGCAGGACAAGAAGCAACGGGTGGAAACTAATCAAGGAGAGAAGCAACCTGGAACTAAGGAGAAACTTCCTGGCAGTTAGAACAATTAACCAGTGGAACAACCTGCCTCCAGAAGCTGTGAATGCTCCAATACTGGAAGTTTTTAAGAAGAGACTGGACAATCACTTGTCCGAGATGGTATAGGTTCTCCTGCCTGAGCAGGGGGTTGGACTTGATGACCTCCAAGGTCCCTTCCAACATCATCATTATTATTATTATGAATCATTGCACAGTCAGCCAGATGTTCAGACTGGATTTGGCATTTTGTTGTTGTTGTTGTTATTATTATTATTATTATTATTATTATTATTATTACCAGATCACCTGCCTCCTACACGCCTCTCCCCCTGCACTCAGATATACCTGTGCTAAGGGGCCGGCAGGCTGCAGCTGCTGCTGGACATTGTCGGCCCCCCCGTGCCTCACCTCTTGTGCGTGCGCTGGGGGATGGGGCACCCGGCTGGGCTGATCACCAAAAATAAGCCCCACTGTGTCTTTTGGTGCCCCCAAAAAATATATAAGACCAGGTCTTATTTTCAGGGAAACCCAGTATATTCTCATTGTGTACCTTTTCCATTGTTTCCTTTACTGTTCTATTATTTTATCTCTGTTCTGTTTACATTCCTCTCATTTTCTTCCTTTTTATTATTCTAAGGTGCCCAGAGTAGATGGCACAGAGAGATAGATGGCAAAAAAATATTAACTGACATACAAATAATGTTAAGCTATGCAATACATTGTTGTTGTTAATTGCGAAGTCCTGTCCAACCCATCGCGACCCCATGGACAACATTCCTCCAGGTCTTCCTGTCCTCTACCATCTTCTGGAGTCCATTTAAGTTCACACCTACTGATTTGGTGACTCCATCCAGCCATCTCATTCTCTGTCGTCCCCTTCTTCTCTCCTTGATTAGTTCCCATCCAGCCTACTGGGTGCGCGTGGATGGAGTGGGTGTGGCCTACTGGGTAGGCATGGCCAGCTCTACATCGCTCACATCAAGGGTGCCTGTGGGGGTCTGGGCAGGAATGGCACAGATCTGAGGGTCTCTGGCAGAAAGGGGTGGAACCAGGGCAGAGCCCATCAAGCCGGATATGTGACATAGGCGAGGGCCATTTGCTGGCCACTTCCAGGCAGTGGTCCATTTCTTCATTCCTCACAAAGGGTGACACCTCCCCAGCATGCACCCAGGGGGCGGGGCCGACATGGCAGGGGCTGGTCCCTCGCTGTTTCCAGACGGCCTTGTGGAGCTAAGACTGAATGCCTTTCAGCATAGATGGCCACCACAAAATTGTACATTGGCTCCCGGCCAGCCTGGGCCAGGGCGAAGACAGCGGGGGCCGTTCCCTCACTGTTTCCAGGATGGCTTCGCGGGCCGCATGAAACCACTTCTCGGGCCACATCCGGCCCCCGGGCCTTGTGTTTGACATGTCTGCTCTATCTGCTTGGAACTCCCAACAGCTCATTCTATTCGTGTGTCGACCAATAATTGACTTCTGGAAAGTCAGAGAGTAAGAAAGAAGCACTTACCTTTATGCCTATCAATTTTACTGCTGTTTGCTATAAACGACATCTCTTCGGGCCAGCTCATGTCTTTATTGCGAACTGCAAAAACCAAAGATCAAAGCTTAGCTGGCACCAAATCCGTTGCATTTAGAAGGCAGCGGAGTCCAATAACATGAGACCGAAAGTCCAACCTCTTTACAAAGACAGAAGGGTCCTCATATTTACGAAAGCCACAATGTGGTTCGAAGTCAGAGAGCTGTCCACTGGGCAGCTGCCATCAAGGATCCCAACAAAATGATTCAGTCCTCAGCCCGGAAAGAAATCCTCAGATGTTTGTAGGTGAGAAATTTCTGAACGAAAACTCTTTGTTTTCAGGTATTGTGCATCGGATTGGGCCCCCAGCTCTCTGGAAAGGTTATCGCATTAAAAATGCAATATGAACTTCCAATGATAAATGAATGGGCAAAAGTAACAGAGGGGAAAAGAATAATTCTGAAGTTAATTAACCAAGGCTTTCCTCTAAGGCTCAAATTAAACTTTTTAAGAACGCGTGATTAGGAATAAGAACGCTTGGGAATTGTAGCAAAGTCAGCTTGATCTTTCTTTTCCTTCCCTTGTTCCAGGCAAAACCTCACTCTAAATTGCCCTCAGCTTTGCAGTGATTTGAGTAGTTAAAGCAGTATTTCTCAACCTGGGCAACCTGAAGATGTGTGTGGACTTCAATTCCCAGAATTCCCCAGCCAGACACGAATATTAGGATAAAGCCACGGTTCTCTTATACCTTCTATAATTAAATGCTGTTCATCTTGAATATTCAGGTATTCCAACGTGTGATCCTCATCATCAAGAAGAGTAAGGTAGTTCTGTGGAGAAAAAAATGCTGGTGAGTTTTCCTGTCCTTTATAACAGCAAAACTTGATGACCAGGAAGAGCTGATCTTGCCTCCTTATTAATTCAGACATTTTGCTAATCCTCAGTTACACTGTCTTAACGCACAGCCAATATAAGTATTTCCATACAGCTTGACATATTCTGGTGGCGCAGTTAAAGTGCAGGCAAACTCTGCCTACAGCCAGGAGTTCGATCCTGACCAGCTCAAGGTTGACTCACCCTTCCCTGTTTCCGAGGTCGGTAAGAATGAGGATCCAGACTGTTGGGGGCAAGAGGCAAATACATTGTAAACCACCCAGAGAGGGCTGTAAAGAGCTATGGGGCAGTGTATAAGCCTAAATGTTATTGCTAGGTTCTTTCTAATCTGATGACCAGCAGGTACAGATGGTCCTCAACTTACGACGGCAAGTGGGACTGGAACTTCTATCGGTCAGTGAGTTGGTCAAGGGGGTGAGTTCGATTTTACAATCTTTTTTTTTTTTTGCCACGGTCCTTAAGCAAAGTTCTTAAGCGTATAATGGGGTGGTTAAACAAATCCAGTTTCCAACATTCACTTTGCGTGTTGGAAGCTGGCCAGGAAGGGTACAAATTGTGATCACGTGACCCTAGGACAGAGGTAGGCAACCTTGGCTCTTTTATGACTCGTGGACTTCAACTCCCAGAATTCCTCAGCCAGCCACGAGTTGAAGTCCAAGCTGGCTCAGGAATTCTGGGAGTTGAAGTCCACGAGTCATAAAAGAGCCAAGGTTGCCTACCCCTGCCCTAGGACAATGCAAGCATTGGAACCACCTGTCATGTGGTCGTAAGTCAAGGACTACCTGTTCCCTAACCCTAACCCAACAGCTTACACGGCCACAATGAAGTCCGAAATTTCTGTTGGTAAACTAGATAAATCCCAATTTCTAACCTTTTTTTGGCTGCATTTCTTAAGCAGATCACTGCAGTCGTTAGGTGAATCGTGCTATTGTTAAACAAACCTGGGCTGTCAGGTCCCCCAAACCCTTATTCTTTACCTTGCATATATACTCTACTTTGGGAACCTGCCGTTCTGCTGGGGGGGGGAGGGGGAGCTTTGCATTATCTTGGGGTAACCTTCGCTTTCTATTCTTTCCTGCTGCTTCCGTCCCTTTGAGAAAGGAATGTATCTCCCTTATCAGGGAGACGGTTAGAAAGAAAGGAAATTGGAGAAGACCTTGAGATGCGCACCAGCTGTGCCAGTTACCCACTCTTCAGGCCACCTGTGGATTGGCTGGATTTCAAGCTGACTTTATGACTTTGGTGGGAGGAGGAATATCGCTAGTTTAATTATATCGTTCAAGTGGGCTTTTCCCCAGATCTCGCCATGACTTCTCCACTATTACTGACCCCCTAATAAAAGTATCCTTTTGAGACAATGCCTGTTTCAAGAGTTCTGCTTTCTTGGCTGGTTAGTTGGAGAAGGAGAAGGAGAAGGAGAAGGAGAAGAAGGAAGAAGGAAGAAGGAAGAAGGAAGAAGGAAGAAGAAGAAGAAGAAGAAGAAGAAGAAGAAGAAGAAGAAGAAGAAGAAGAAGAAGAAGAAGAAGAAGAAGAAGAAGAAGAAGAAGAAGAAGAAGAAGAAGAAGAAAAAATAACAACAACGACAGGTCCTGGATAAGGACTCAATAGGTAGACAAAATGCTAAATCCAGTCTGAACATCTGGCTGACTGTGCGATGATCCATAATAATAACAACAATAAAACAATAATAATAATAAAGTTGGAAGGGACCTTGGAGGTCATCTAGTCCAACCCCCTGCTCAGGCAGGAAACCCTATGGTATACCATTTCAGACAAATGGCTCTCCAGTCTCTTCTTAAAAACCTCCAGTGTTGGAGCATTCACCACTTCTGGAGGCAGGGTGTTCAATTGATTAATTGTTCTAACTGTCAGGAAATTCCTCCTTAGTTCTAGGTTGCTTCTCTCTTTGGTTAGTTTCCATCCGTTGCTTCTTGTCCTGCCTTCAGGCGCTTTGGAGAATAGCTTGACTCCCTCTTCTTTGGGGCAGCCCCTGAGATACTGGAAGACTGCTATCATGTCCCCCCTCGTCCTTCTCTTCGTTAAACTAGACATACCCAATTCCAGCAACCGCTCCTTGTATGTTTTAGCCTCCAGTCCCCCGATCATCTTTGTTGCTCTTCTCTGTACTCTTTCTAGAGTCTGAGTCCTTACATTGGTATCCTTCCTTTGACTGCGGAGTGAAAGCTGACTGAAAATTGCAATCAAGGGACCCCTAGGACAAGGGTAGGCAACCTGGGCTCTTTTATGACTCGTGGACTTCAACTCCCAGAATTCCTGCGCCAGCCACGCTGAGGAGAAAGGGAGAGGTTTCCATGCTGAGCCATGCTGACTCAGGAATTCTGGGAGTTGAAGTCCACGAGTCATAAAAGAGCCCAGGTTGCCTACCCTTGCCCTACACGAATGCTCGTTAAGTCAAGGACTATCTGTAGGCTGGCTCTGCAGATCCCAGCATGCCTACAAGGCTGGCTCAGCATCTCTGAATCAAGCTGTACTCAAAGGAGGAAGTACTAATTTGGGACCCCAACCGTCCAATGCCATTCGTACCAAAACGGGCCTTGGACCCCACCACTCAGACCAGGCATTTTTTTATTATTATTTTTTATTTTTCCAAACTCTCCACATACATATTGTTGTTGTTAATTGCGAAGTCGTGTCCAACCCATCGCGACCCCATGGACAACATTCCTCCAGGTCTTCCTGTCCTCTACCATCTTCTGGAGTCCATTTAAGTTCACACCTACTGCTTCGGTGACTCCATCCAGCCATCTCATTCTCTGTCCTCCCCTTCTTCTATTGCCCTCAATCTTTCCCAGCATTAGGCCCTTCTCCAGTGAGTCCTTCCTTCTCATTAGGTGGCCAAAGTACTTGAGTTTCAACTTCAGGATCTGGCCTTCTAAAGAGCAGTTGGGGTTGATCTCTTCTAGGACTGATCGGTTTGAACGCCTTGCAGTCCAGGGGACTCGCAGGAGTCTTCTCCAGCACCAGAGTTCAAAGTCCTCAATTCTTTGGCGCTCAGCCTTTCTTATGGTCCAACTTTCACAGCCATACATTGCAACTGGGAAAACCATGGCCTGGACTATACGCACTCCACATACATATACCATGATATTTATCAGATGTTAACATACATTCTTTTTCCATTCATATATAAGATACTTTTAATAAAATGAAATAAATACGTACACATGACTTTTGGTGTTGCTCGCCCATTTCCCCTTTCACTGCATCCACACTCCTTCTTCTCTACCTTCTTTCTCCCTTTCTTCTCTTCCCTACTTCCCTCTTCTTCCTCAGACCAGGCATTTTAACTTCCAGTCTCCACACATGGGCTGAGAGCCCACCGCTTTCTTCTCTACGGGGGGACCCTCCACGATTCTGCCCTTACCTCGCTGTTGTACAGCCACAGGCGCATATCCTCCTCTTTCATCCTCAGCCGCTGTGACAGGTATTCGTGGATCTCCTTGACGGTCTGAGTGCGGCTAAAGCAGCCGGTGTAGGCCAAGACCCTCTTCAAAGGCGCGCTGGGAGAAGGGACGTTCCCTAAGTTCACAAGCAGAGAGAAACAGATGTTACGAGCCGAAGGAAGGGGCAAGATACAGTCGGGCTCTTGCAAACTCGGTGACTTTAAGGCTCGTGGACTTCGACGCCCAGAATTCCTCAGCCAGCATCGCGATGCTGGCTGAGGAATTCTGGGCGTCGAAGTCCACGAGCCTTAAAGTCACCGAGTCTGCAGACCCCCTGCGCGAGAGTGTGCAAATCAATGTTTTTGGGTCGGTCTGGACTTGCTGGTCTTTTTAGGAGTTGTTCGGCTGGCCCCTCTTGCTAACTCAGTGGTTCTCAACCTGTGGGTTGGGACCCCATTTGGGGTCGAACGACCATTTCACGGGGGTCGCCAAACAACGCAGTCCGCCATTTTTTTTCCCCTTTTCCTTAGCTGTGCTACTCCCTTTTATTCTATTGGCTTTTGAAAGCCAATAGAATAGACTCTCTTGAATAGAGTCTAATTCTATTGGCTTTCAAAAGCCAATAGGAATTGTCCAGGCTGTCTCTGCCCTGCTGAGCCCGCCAAAAGTCCCATTCTGCAAACGGTGCTGCACCAGTTGAGTAGTCCTCGACTTACGACCGGTTGAGTAGTCCTCGACTTACGACCGGTTGGGGGGGGGTCACGGCATTAAAAAGGTTGAGAACCACTGTGCTAAATTAAGAGTCCGAAGCAAAAGCAGACAGAATGGCTAAAATCTCAACAGAGGAAAAATCGGCTAAGTGAAAATATTGAGCTGATTCCTCTTTGTCCGGGAAGAACAAATGCAGGTGGCAAAAATGGGATCATTTCCAGGTATCGAGATGACAGGTGTACAAAAGGGTGGGGTTGGTTCCCTTCCGGTTCTTCCCCAACCTGGGTTGATCCTCTCAGGAGCCTTTTCATGAAACTGGAGCAGCCGAAGAGGACACATTGCACCTCTTCCTGTGTCAATCTGCCTTCTCCTGATGGCTGCCCTTCCTGAACAATTTCAGGGAGCAGCGTGAGGATTTTAGAATAGAATAGAGCTGGAAGAGACCCTGGAGGTCATCTAGTCCAACCCCCTGCTCAAGAAGGAGACTCTATGCTATTTCAGACAAGTGGCTGTCCAGTCTCTTCTTAAACACCTCCAGTGATGAAGCACCCACAACTCCTGAAGGCAGGTTCTTTCAGTGGTTAACTGTTCTCACTGTCAGGAAAATTCTCCTTAATTCCAGGTTGCTTCTCTCCTTGATTGGTTTCCATCCATTGTTTCTTGTTTTGCCTTCTGATGCTTTGGAAAATAAGTTGACCCCCCCCTTCTTTGTGGCAGCCCCTCAAATACTGGACTACTGCTATCATGTCATCCCTAGTCCTACTTTTTTCTAGATGGGCCATACCCAAATCCTGCAGCCGTTCTTCGTATGTTTTCGTCTTCAGGCCTTTGGTCTTAGTTGCTCTTCTCTGCACTTTTTCCAAAGTCTCAACATCTTTTTGTGTAGTGGGGTGACCAAAACTGGATGCAGTATTCCAGATGTGGTCTTATAAGGTTTTATAAAGTTTTTTTCCTTAATTAAAAACTAACATTTTGAAAGGCTAGGCATCTCAGACCCTCTAGCAGGAATTATTACATCCTATCTGCTTTATAAAAACAGAGATCAGAGCACAAAATAATAATCCTTCCTGCAGATTTTGTTATTTAGAGATAAGGCTTAATTACTATTTTTTTTTGGGGGGGGGGAGAGGTTTACAGCCTATTAAGGTTATTGAGGCTCCATACTTTAGTTGTGATCTTAACTCAGGTGGCAATGTGTATTTTAATAATAATAATATAATTATAATAATAATAATGATGATGATGATGATGATAAAGTTGGAAGGGACCTTGGAGGTCATCTATATATACATTTCTTACTGGTGTATACCGCTTAGAGAGTGCTTGCACTTAAAGCGGTATATAAGTCTCATAAATAAATAAATAAATAAAATCTAGTCCAACCCCCTGCTCAGGCAGGAAACCCTATACCATTTCAGACAAATGGCTGTCTAGTCTCTTCTTAAAAACCTCCAGTGTTGGAGCATTCACCGCTGCTGGAGGCAGGCGGTTCCACTGGTCAATTGTTCTAACTGTCAGGAAGTTTCTCCTTAGTTCTAGGTTGCTTCTCTCCTTGATGAGTTTCCATCCATGGCTTCCTGTCTTGCCTTCAGGCGCTTTGGAAAATAGCTTGACTCCCTCTTCTTTGGGGCAGCCCCTGAGATATTGGAACACAGCTATCGTGTCCCGCCTCATGTGCTGGGTATATCTTCCACCTCGATTCATTTGTAAAAATAATAAAGGCGGGAGATAAATAAGTAGAAAAATAAGTTTATGGAAGCATTCTGTCTTAGTGAGCTCTTCTCCAATCTGGGTCAATGCATAAGGAGGCGGTATTTGGCGGGGGGGGGGAGAGAAAAACACGCCTGCTGTTGCAAGAACCAACAACAATTAACTTAAGCCTCTAGCTTGATCCACACAAGGCCAGACCCCCCCCCCGACATATTTGCATGCAGGTTAATGAAAAACAGCAAAATTTGAATTTTCAATTTCTTTTGTAAGGCAGCAAGCACCTCTTCCCTTTCACCCCGTGGTGTTTCTCCCCATCTTCACCATCAAGCAAAGCACCCCTTCTCTGTATATAATACAAAGCCATTTCCCCCCCCCCCCCGCAGTCAAAAAGCGAGAGATTAAGAATAAGATTACAGCAAGAAAGCATGTTGGGACGGAAGGCAGGCTCACGATTCGTGGTTGATTTCACCATTAGTGCCGAGCGGACAAACGCCAAATCACGTTCAGATGCTGGTGTATTATGAAAATCCTCTCTTCCAAATTGGGGGGGAGAAGGGGGGGGGTTGATGTGTTGGAAGGCAAAGCAGCTCTGACCACAAGATATTCAATAAGGTTTTTGATAGGTAGTTGGCTGGATTTTGTTATATTCAGATTAAGCCAAGAGCCGCTGATTTTAACCAATTGGGGGAGGAGGGGGGATTTCCTAAGCCCCCCCCCTTTTTACAGGTAGCAGAAGCGTTAAAACACACACACACACACACACACCCAAAGTTGAAGATTTAGAATGAGCGTTTAAGCAAACTCTTATTAAAGGTCAACACAACATCCTGCTTTTTCTTCCAACGACCTAGCTTTCCCGGCTAATATCATTTTGATTACAGGAATTCACCCGTTATCTAGGCCCACGGCCAGCTGGGTAAAGTCAGAGACCTTGAAAAAGACTTTTCCCCCAGATGCGTTGTTGAGCTTCTTATCAAAAGCACCTGGAGCTCGCCAGCTTTTCCCCCATCACAAGGAAGATTGTTGCCAGCAGAAGAGAATTGTGATAAGGAGCAAGGGGCTTTGTTTGTTTCTAGGAGGCCGTGAGGGAGAACAAGGGTCTGCTCCCTTTTTTTCCTCATAATTCTTCTTTGATTGGTCCTCCGTAAATACCTTATTTTTTTAAAAAAAAACTCTTCTAATTTTAAACTGCTTTTTATAGTTATAAATTGTTCTTTTATTGCATTGCTAACTGCCCAGAGTCGCTTGGAATGGCAAGCACTGCTACTTCCTACGAAGGTTTGGGAGGCATCTGTAGAAAGAAAGCTGACGCAGAAAGGTGAAGGGCCAATAAACCAGGAGATTCCTAGGAAGGCTTCTACAGGTGCACCTTCCTTATCCCAGGCACCATGCTAGATATCCCAGAACATCAGCATTCAGAAGCCGAGTTTGCTTTTCCATTAGAACAGTGGTTCTCAACCTGTGGGTCGGGACTCCATTTGGGGTCGAATGACCATTTCACGGGGGTCGCCAAACAACGCAGTCCGCCATTTTTTCCCCCTTTTCCTTAGCTGTGCTACTCCCTTTTATTCTATTGGCTTTTGAAAGCCAATAGAATAGACTCTCTTGAATAGAGTCTAATTCTATTGGCTTTCAAAAGCCAATAGGAATTGTCCAGGCTGTCTCTGCCCTGCTGAGCCCGCCAAAAGTCCCATTCTGCAAACGGTGCTGCACCAGTTGAGTAGTCCTCGACTTACGACCGGTTGAGTAGTCCTCGACTTACGACCGGTTGGGGGTCGCGGCATTAAAAAGGTTGAGAACCACTGCATTAGAACATAGAACCATAGAGCCGGAAGGGACCTCGGAGGTCTTCTAGTCCAACCCATTGCTCAAGGCAAGAAACCTTATAACATACCGGTCAAATGGTTGTCTGTTCTATTTCTAAAAACCTCCAGTGATGGAGCACCCGTAACTCCTGGTGGCAAGCTGTTCCACTGATTAATTGTCCTCACTGTCAGAAAATTTCTCCTTAATTCTAGGTTTCTAATTCTAATTCTCTCTTTAACAAACTTTCATCCATTATTTCTTGTCTTGCCTTCTCGTACCTTAGAGCAGAGGTCTCCGACTTTTGGGGCACCGGGGACCGGTTCCATGGAGAGAGGTTTTTTCACGGACCAGAGAGTGCGTGGTTTGGTATGCTGCCTGCATCCCGCAGATGGGGCTTTGCTTGTTTGTGTGAACCGGTTGTTGGCATGCTGTGGCCCGGTACCAGTCCATGGACCGGGGGTTGGGGACCCCTGCCTTAGAGAACAAGTCGATTCCCTTTTCTTTGTGACAGCCCCCCACCCAAGTACTAGAAGACGCTTATCATGTCCCCCTTAATCCTTCTCTCCGATAGGATAGACATATCCCAGTTAGAACAATTAATCAGTGGAACAACCTGCCTCCAGAAGCGGTGAATGCTCCAACACTGGAGGTTTTTAAGAAGAGACTGGACAGCCATTTGTCCGAAATGGTAGAGGGTTTCCTGCCTGAGCAGGGGGTTGGACTAGATGACCTCCAAGGTCCCTTCCAACTTTATTATTATTATTATTATTATTATTATTATGGATCATCGCACAGTCAGCCAGATGTTCAGACTGAATTCGGCATTTTGTCTACCTATGGAGTCCTTACCCAGGACCTGGGATAGGCAGATGGGGATGTTTGATGGTATTACAGATATCGTTGCAGGATGGAAGCAGTTCCTAGTAAGGCCGCCTTTTGCAATTGACTAATGGCGAATTTGTCAATGCCAATGGTGTTCAAGTGGTGCTCCAGTTGTTTTGGGATTGCACCCAAGGAGCCTATTACTATTGGTACTACCCTTGCTTGCTTTTGCCACAGTCTTTCTATTTCTATTTGTAGGTCTTTGTATTTTATTATCTTCTCTAGTTCTTTCTCGTCTATTCTGCTGTCTCCAGGCACTGCCACGTCCACTATCCAGACTTTTTTGTCTTTCTTATAGACAATTGTTAAGTCTGGGGTGTTATGTTGCAGGTGCTTGTCTGTTTGAATTCTGAAGTCCCATAGCAGTTTAATTTTATCATTTTCTGTGACTTTCTCTATTTTATGATCCCACCAGTTTTTGTTTACAGGCAAATGATATTTTTTGCAGATATTATTATTATTATTAACTCCCTCAACTGTTCATCACACGATTTAGCCTCCAGACCCCTGATACTTTTTAATGTTGCTCTTCTCTGCTCTTCTCTTTCCAGAATTGCAACCTTGTTTGTTTGTTTTTGTTTTGGGTATTGCGATGACCAGAACTGGATGCAACGTTCCAAGTAGTTCAAATGAAGAAAAGAAAAGCGGCCGAATGCTTCCGTGGCCTTTGATAAGAGTTTTGAATCGTTTTTGAAAGGGGGGGGGGTCAACCATCACCAACCGTGCTTTAAAGGTTTCATTAGCATCATTTACAAGCACTGTGGCAGCACAGGCGTCCAAGTCTGGGCGGTGGGGCCGGCCTCCCTTCGAGAACTAGTGCGCAGCTGGGTTCTTGCTGTAGTCTTACGTTACCTCTCGGCCAATGGTGGGGAAACAGCCTCAGGCTCATCATACCCATGTTCACCCAGACGTTGGACTGCTGCGTCCGGGTGGCCGGCTGCTGTCTTAAGAAGAGCAGGTAGCGGGGGAAAAGCTCCAGCTCAGCCAGGCCCCTCGCGCTGTTTCTGATCACCTGCAGGACAAGGAGGAAAACAGAAGCAGATCAGCAATCAAGGAGAAGGGAGTTGGGGTTTGGGTTTTTTTTTTTTGTCTTGAGCAATACAGGTTGTCCTCGACTTACGACCACAATTGAGCCCAAGGTCTCTGCTGCTAAGCGAGACGGTGGTTAATTGTTTTTTTTGCCCCGTTTTACGACCTTTCCTTTTGGTTTGGTCTCCGATGGATTCCGCAGACTTTTCAGATCTGTGGTTTGATAAAGTCGGAAGTTCTCGACTTAGCCCTGCAATTGGGCAGCCGGAAATCCAGTGGTAAGTGCCCAAATTTTGATGAAGTGACCACGGGGATGCTGCAAATGGTCATAAGCATGAAAAACAGTCATAAGTTACTTTTTTCAGGGTCGTTGTAAGGTCAAATAGTTACTGAATGAAAGATTGTAAGGCAGTGGTTCTCAACATTTTTAATGCCGCGACCCCCCAACCGGTTATAAGTCGAGGACTACTCAACCAGTCGTAAGTCGAGGACTACTCAACTGGTGCAGCACCGTTTGCAGAATGGGACTTTTGGCGGGCTCAGCAGGGCAGAGACAGCCTGGACAATTCCTATTGGCTTTTGAAAGCCAATAGAATTAGACTCTATTCTATTGGCTTTCAAAAGCCAATAGAATAAAAGGGAGTAGCACAGTTAAGGAAAAGGGGGAAAAAATGACGGGCTGCGTTCTTTGGCGACCCCCGTGAAATGGTCCTTTGACCCCAAATGGGGTCCCGACCCACAGGTTGAGAACCACTGTTGTAAGGCGAGGGCTACCTGTACGATGAACAATGAGTCCAGATACCTCAAAATAGTTACAACGATTTTACTAATTATAGGCAAGTACAGGTAGTCCTCAACCTACGACCACAGTTGAGCCCAAAATTTCTGTGGCTAAAGTGAGAAATTTGTTAACTGAGTTTTGCCCATTTTACGACCTTTCCTGCCACCGTTGTTAAGCGAATCACTGCAGTCGTTAATTGGTCACATGGTTGTTAAGTCACGTGACACCCCCCGGGGGATGCCACAACTTTCATAAATATGAGTCGGTCGCCAAGCAGCTGAATTTTGATCACGTGATCATGGCGATGCTGCAACTGTCGTTAAGTGTGAAAAACGGTCACAAGTCACTTTTTCCAGTGCTGCTGCAACTTTGAATGGTCACTAAATGAACTGTTGTAAGTCGAGGACTACCTGTACGGGGAGTCCTGAAGTTATAACCCCAACGGAGATCAAAATTTCTGCTGCTAAGCCAGACGGTTGTTAATTGACTTTTGACCCGTTTTATGACCTTTCCTGCCACAGTTGTTAAGCGAACCACTGCAGTCATTAAGTCAGTCACACGGTTAAGTGAAAAGCTTTCCCGTTGACTTTGCTCATCAGAAGCTCACAAAAGGGGATCACGTGACCGCAAGGGTGCTGCAACCGCCATAAATACATGCCGGATGCCAAGCATCTGAATTTTGATCAGGTGGTCCACCGGGATGCTGCAACGGTCGTAAGTGTGAAAAACAGTCACAAGTCACTTTTTCCAGTGCCGCTGTAACTTCGAGTGGTCACCAAACAAACTGTCGTAAGTCGAGGACTACCTGTAATGTGGTTGTTAAATGAATCTGGTTCCCCCGCTGACTTTTATACATGCTGCCACGGACGTAAGTGTGAAAAATGGTCATAAGTCACTTTTTCCAGTGCCGCTGTAACTTCGCTCACTAAATGAACGGTTGTAAGTCGAGGACCGGCAGATCTCATCCTCATTTTACTCCCGTATAAGCTCAAGCGTGGTGGCCGTAAGTATGACTGTTTTTCACGCTTATGACCATTGCAGCATCCCCATGGTCACTTCATCAAAATCTGGGCACTTACAATTGGACCTCCGGTGCCCAATTGCAGTGCTAAGGGGAGAACCTCCGACTTTGCCAAACCACAGATCTGAAAGTCTGCGGAATCCATCGGAGTCCAAACCAAATATATATATATATCACTGCCTCCATTTCTATATCCAGCAACCAAGGTAATTACTGGTGCACTGATGATATTACCTAGCTGGGTAATGAAACATCTGCAAGAAAACAACCAAGCTCAGAGAGCACCATGGACTTCTCATTTCAACCCTGAGCTACAAATATTTTCTTTTATTAGTACCAAATGCGATTACACCCCTGCTGTTTTATTACTACATTGAGAATGATGCTCATCCTTGGTCCACACCACAAATTATCATTTTGAAAACGCCTTAAAAGTGAAGAGACAAAGGATGATGGCTCCTCCGCCAGGAAACCAATGGTTCCATCATGTCCCAAAGGTGCTTTTTCAAAAGGCAAGGGGACTTTGTTTTTCCTTGAAAATGTTTCGCTTCTCATCCAAGAAGCTTCTTCAGTTCTGACTGAATGGCGGAGGATGGAGAAATTTAAACTTCTTGCAGTCATCTGATTGTTAGCACTCTTTCTGAGAATTGTTGAGGCCGTGTGGAGGTTTATCTGGGCCTTCAGGGCCATTTGAATAGTGCAAATGGGTATGGAATCTTTTTGGAACTGCGGAAAGGACTGTAAACAGGAGATAGGTGGTGTGTCATATCCCTTCCCCTCTGCTAAGAGAGGCCTGTTCAGTCTTAATGTAGATCAGTGGTTCTCAACCTGTGGGTCGGGACCCCATTTGGGGCCAAACGACCATTTCACGGGGGTCGCCAAACAACGCAGTCCGCCATTTTTTCCCCCTTTTCCTTAGCTGTGCTACTCCCTTTTATTCTATTGGCTTTTGAAAGCCAATAGAATAGACTCTCTTGAATAGGGTCTAATTCTATTGGCTTTCAAAAGCCAATAGGAATTTTCCAGACTGTCTCTGCCCTGCTGAGCCCGCCAAAAGTCCCATTCTGCAAATGGTGCCGCACCAGTTGAGTAGTCCTCGACTTATGACCGGTTGAGTAGTCCTCGACTTATGACCGGTTGGGGGGGGGGTCACGGCATTAAAAAGGTTGAGAACCACTGATGTAGATGGTCTCTTTGACCCTTCTTTCAAACCAGCGGTCCTCTCTGTCCAGAATGTGGACTTTGCTTTCAAAAGAGTGATCTTTGTCTTTACAATGCAGATGGACTGCTGAATCTTGTCCTGATGGGTTTGTTCTCCTATGCCAGTGATGGCGAACCTTTTAGAGACCGAGTGCCCAAACTGCAACCCAAAACCCACTTATTTATCGCTGGGTGCCAGGTGGGCGTGGTCCACTGGGTGGGCGTGGCTGTGGTGGTCATGGCAGATTGGGTGGGTGTGGCCAAGGTGGGCGTGATTACCTCGATGTTGCTCGGGGGGAGGGACAGGCAGGGTTGGGGGAGATCCAGGGGGTCTCTGGGAGGTGGGGCGGTGGGCAGGAGGCTCGTCCTGCAGGGTGAGGCAAGGCAAGGCAGGGCGGGGTTGCCATTGTCACAGGGCAAGGTGAGGCAGGGCCCGGGGCAGCTGCTGCCTGACACCATCGGTCCCTGCACACAAAGGCCAGCAAGCGCATGGGTGCTGGGATGCATCCGGCCATGTGGGACCTCGGCAAGTTAGCAGATGGCTGGTTGAAGAGGGACGGTTGCCATCTCCGGGGCATGGCGCGTGTGCCCACAGAGAGGGCTCTGAGTGCCGCCTCTGGCACGCATGCCATAGGTTCGCCACCACTGTCCTATGCTGTGCCATGCCTTTGTGAAGTGGTGGTTTTGTTTCTCCAATGTACAAATCGTTGTACATTGGTGATGGTTTCACCAATTCTCTTTTGTGAACGATCCGAATTTCAGAGAGATGGCAGGGTCAAACCCATGCTGCAAGAACTAGCTATATAGTGTGGTTCATTAAAACTGGCAAGATTCACTGTCTCGTGGACATCGCATTGAGTGCCACACAGGTCACGCTGTTTATTACTCTTTCCTTCCATCCTGTGCCCATGTGCTTAGTTGCCAACGGATGAGGATCAAACAGCCAGCTCTAATCCATTAACCTTGTGCCAGCAGATGGAAATTCTTATTTTTTTATTAGCATTATCCCATTACTTCCCCAACTCTGCTTTAAGATGCCACTGTACTTGTGGAGGAAAAAAAAAAAAACAATTCCCTCACAACCTTAACCTCTTAAAAATGCACATTTAGCACTATGATATCCATTTTGGCACAGAGCTAACTTCCCAAGCCAAAAAGATATCCAATTTTGTACGTGGGTGTATTTTTTTTAAAAAAAATCAACTCTCTGGAGTCATGAATAAAAGCAGAATGAGTTGAAGGGGATATTTTAATGGGAAACATATGCTGGGAGATATCAAAAATCCCAAATCAGCTTTTTTTTTTCCTACCTGATGCATCCCAGGTGTGCCGCTGTATCACTTCCATCTAGCAAAATAGATTTATATTGGCCAGAGAGTCCCACATACCACAATTAGAGTTGGTTGCCCTGAAGATTACAAATAGGGGTTTCTTTTTCCCTCCCACTAAACTGAGATCAGGCAAATTATTCTGACTTTTTAAAAACTCTAAACATCTCATTACAAGTAGTCCTTCACTTATGAATATAATGGAACCTACCCAATATGGTCGTAAGTCCTGATGGTCATAAAGCGAGTCATCATGCCCCATTTGACCTTTTTTTTTGCAGTAATCATTAAGCAAGCCCATTGTTCTCTATGGGGCGAAGTAAACAATGGTTTTGAGGAAAAATATTGTAAATTGTAGTTAACGTTAACTGCAGGATGCTGCAAACAACAATCAACGTAGGCCGGTTTTGAGTGACCGAAACGTGGCCATGGGACCTTGGGGGGAGGGGCAGCCATCAGAACATTGGAACTGGGTCGTAAGTACGTTTTGTAACTTTGAACAGTCACTAAGCGACCGGTCGTAAGTTGAGGACCACCTGTAGCAAATTACTGATTATTAGCACAGAACGGGTTTTCTTTTTAACCATTAGAGGTGAAATTTTGTCAAACAAAGTGGTACGTTGCTTTGAAACTCATCAAATCTGGTATTCAAGGCATTTTAACACGAAAATTTCGTCCCGGTACTCATTGTCTGTTTGATACTCAGTGCACAAACTAGAACTTGTGGGTGTTGGCTGCCTTGTGACTCATTACATTATTCCTTTTGGGAAAAATTCATTTGGTATTCAGTGTTTTTTTTTGTACCGAAGTACCACTGTATCTGCATCTTTAGTCAACCAAATTACATTAAGCAATCAGCAAGGGCTTTGGTGACAATTAGGAATATTAAAGAATTCAGTTCACATGTTCTGAAGAATCCGATTGAGACTAACAACCTCCTAGAACAGTGTTTCTCAACCTTGACAATTTTAAGGCATGTGGACTTCAACTCCCAGAATTCCACAGCCAGCATTGCTGGCTGTGGAATTCTGGGAGTTGAAGTCCACATGCCTTAAAATTGTCAAGGTTGAGAAACACTGTCCTAGAGGACTGTTGCCTGTTTTCAATACATACCGGTCGTGGCAAAGACAGGTTCGCTCCATACCAATGATAGAGAGCTCTCCACACCGGTTCTGGGACAATTTCATAATTTTTCCCTTGGATTAATTGGGGTGATGGTTTTAATCGCCCGCCTTCCAGAGTCAATGATGGAGCCTTCCAAAAAAGAAAAAGAAAAAAAATCAGATTCTCTTTTATCAAATTTCTTGAAAGATTATAAATCCTGAACCAAATAAAGAATTAGTGCAGATTAATATAATAGGCCGAGCAACATTAGAGAGACCATCCCATTTCACAAAAAAGACCTGGTCATTAAAAAGGTTTGGATTATTTGCATGCTTGCTCATCATGGTCATTCTGTGGTTTCCTCTGGCAATGCCCTTTTTTCTAACCCTGGAGATGAAAGCATTAGCAAGAGTCTGAGCATTAGGAAATGGTCATCCTGCTGACTCTTTTTTCCCTTCTTCCTCCCATCTCTTTTTCTCAATTTTTAATGTCTCCTGATTGCAAACCTATTTCACTTGCTTGGTCTTTGGCTAAAGAGCAGAGTTTAAATTAATTAAATAAGCCCAAAATAAGTTTTGCAAGCATCTTAAGCACAACCTGATTAGGGCAGAACTCAGCTGCCCCAATTTAAATGGTACCTCACAGTTAGTTCTCATCGCTCCATTCATACTGACTACTGATTAAGTTCCAAGACCTTTTCATGGAGGGTGTTGTATATTTTTAAAGCTCAAAATACTTGGGAAAAAAAAGAGTATTTTCCTTATCCCAGTCCACCCTTGCCTTGAAATAGGAGCAGAAAAAGTGCAGCCTGCTTATAAAGCCAATAGTCAGGGTTGCTGGAAACTGTTATAACTCAGAATACCCATCGCTGTTTAAGATCATCCACAGGGTCAGTTTTTCGAGGTATCTTCCTTATGGAATAGCAGAATGGAGTGAAAAGGAGGGCTTTGGAATGCTGTTCTCCAGTATCAAATTACCATCTCCATATTGGCAGTTTAAGATATTATTTTTCAGTCAAATATTTTAATTTCATCATTTCTGATTTAATATAGTGCTAAAACTCTTGTTGTCATGACCTTTACCTGGGCAAAGTGGTGCGTCAATCTTTGAATGAAGATATCTTACATGCGCTAACTTACAGAAGGTGTCGAAAATCTGGGACCTATGATTCCTGAGGGAATGAAATTTGGGGAAGCTGTGACTGCTTCAGTGCTACTGGCTGTTGCTATATGGCTGGGCTGTTGCTGCTGTCATGTGATCTTCATTTTCAATATTCTGTGATAGTTTCCCAGCCAGTCTAGCAATCCTCTGCTCCTTCCTCCGCCTAGCAGCAGCCACTAACCTGCCAGGAGAGGGGAGGGCAGGGCACGGCAGGGCAGGACAGGATTGTGTCTAAATTTTGATCACGTTACCATGGGGATGCTACAAATGTGAAAAATGGTCATAAGTCAAGTTTTTCAATGCTGTTGTAACTTTGAACAGTCACTAAACAAATGGTTGTAAATCGAGGAATACCTGTTCAGGTAGTCCTCGACTTACAACAGTTCATGTAATGACCATTCAAAATTACAAGGGCACTGAAAAAATGTGACTTATGACCATTTTTCACAGTTATGTTGTAGCATCCCCATGATCATGTGATCAAAATTCAGATACTAGGCAACTGACTCATATTTATGATGGTTGCCGTGTCCCGGGGTCATGAGATCACCTTTTGGGACCTTCTGACAACCAAAGTCAATTTGGGAAGCCATATTCACTTAACAACCGTGTTACTAACTTACCAACTTGAGTGATTCACTTCATAACTGTGGCGAGAAAACTCGTAAAATGGGGCAAAACTCACTTAACGAACGTCTCACTTAACAACAGAAAGTTGTTGAGGACTCCCTGTACTGTTTTTACTTATAAGAGGCTTACCTTCACGGGCTCTTGCGTTACAAGTGGCTGATTATCAATCGCTCCAGGCCGCTGTGGATTCAGCAACTGGAGTAAGATATTCCCATTAGATGCGAGGAGGCACTGATTGTTGTTGTCCGAAGAATTAAGTTGGCGAGCGAAACATGTCTCGGCAATGGGAGTGGTGGCCGAAAGGATATCTGGAAGGTAAATGAGGATGAAACAAAAGTAAGCATGAGGACCCAGATTGTTGGGGGCAATGTAAATATATATATACATTGCTTACTGGTGTACACCGCTTAGAGAGTGCTTGCACTTAAAGCGGTATATAAGTCTCATAAATAAATAAATAAATAAATGTCAAGTTTTGAAGCAGGGTGTTTTTTTCCCTGCTGCAATGGTTATTGTTTCTCAGCTTGCCAATGAACTCGGGGGGGGGGGGGGAAATCGGGATTGGAATGCAGACTTCAATGATTAAAGAAGCGGACCATGGGAATCAAGGACTATTACCAGATGTCAGGCCAGACCCAGAGATACTTTCTCATAACAATATTGCTGCATCTAACTGGGCATCGTGACCTGATCCAGAGAGAGAGGAGAGAGAATTCTATGCTTTCACTATGTAGGGCTTGGGTGGGATTTTGCCAGAGCTGGTTTTGCTTTCGTAAGTGCCGAAATGATGTACTCAATAAAGTTTTATCTTAAGACAGTGGTTCTCAACCTTTTTAATGCCGTGACCCCAACCAGTCGTAAGTCGAGGACTTTCCCTGCCCGGGAGCGCCGCGCATGCATGGTGCCGCCTCCTGTGCCAGCCGAGGCGTAGCTGGCAAGCAGCAGAGATGGTGCAGGCCGACCACCGGCTGGGCCACCAGCTGGGCCACCAGCTGGCCCAGCCCAAGGGAGGTAAGGCACCCACTGGGCCCCACATGTGCCAGCAACCCTCCCTGCGCCCGCCGGCCTCCCACCTCCCACCCCTGGCCCTCTTTTACTTATATTTTTAGTAGTTGCTCAGCAGGGAGGGGTGGAAATTTCCAGACAGCTCGCCTTCACTGCAGACAACTTGCAGCACCGTTTGCAGAATGGGACTTTTGGCGGGCTCAGCAGGGCAGAGACAGCCTGGACAATTCTATTGGCTTTTGAAAGCCAATAGAATTAGACTCTATTCAAGAGACTCTATTCTATTGACTTTCAAAAACCAATAGAATAAAAGGGAGTAGCACAGCTAAGGAAAAGGGGAAAAAAATAGCGGACTGCGTTGTTTGGCAACCCCCGTGAAATGGTCGTTCGACCCCAAATGGGGTCCCGACCCACAGGTTGAGAACCACTGTCTTAAGAGATTGGAATGTCTCGAAGGTGTTCGCTTGATTGGGTTTGTCAGTTGGAACCGTGCCGGGAAGTGTGCAAAGTTACAGGGCAATATCAGAAAGGAGCAAACAGTGGCTCTGAAGGTATGACTGGATTATAACTCAAATCTCACTATCTGTATGCTGACTTGAAAATGCTACGTGTTATTACCGTGTTTCCCCCAAAATAAGACCCAACCGGAAAATAAGCCCTAGCATGATTTTTCAGAACGCTTGTAATATAAGCCCCACCCCAAAAAATAAGCCCCAGTTAAGATCGTCAGCCAGACAGACGCAGTTAGTACCGTATTTCCCCGAAAATAAGACCTAACCGGAAAATAAGCCCTAATGTGTCTTTTGGAGCAAAAATTAATATAAGACCCGGTCTTATTTTCAGGAAAACGCTTAGTTCAATAACATCTGGAAAGCCGCTTTTTACGATCCATCAGCCTCTTATAATAGGATCTTGGCACCTCCTTCATTTTTTCAGGAGGCCATAAAGGTGGTCCTCAACTTACAACAGATCGTTTAGTGACTACTCAAAGTTATAATGGCACTGAAAAAAGTGACTTATGACTGTTTTTCACACTTACAACTGTTGCAGCACCTGATCAAAATTCAGATGCTCAGCAACTGACTCTTATTTATGACGGTTGCAGGGTCCCAGGGTCAGGTGATTGGCTTCTAACAAGCAAAGTCAGTTGGGGAAGCCAGATTCACTTAACAAACGTGTCACTCATTGAACAACTACAGCGATTCATTTAACAGCTGTGGCAAGCAAGGCCGTAAAATGGGACAAAATTCACTTAACAAATATGTCACTTAGAAAAATAAATTTTGGGCTCAATTGTGGTTGAAAGTCAAGGACTGCCTGTATCCTTTTCCTATGGTTTCACACATCCACATAATGCTTCTGTTTGAAAAAGGGCGTCTAATCTTTCATAAATTTAGATAAACCCTCTTACCTGGTTTGATCATTTTTACACATTTAGTCTAACCTTCAAAGCTCTTTACAAATAAAGTGATCTGAGGCTGGAGATTCGTTCTCCGAGCTTGTGGGTTGGTTTCTGAACGTTTCGTTACCAGGCTAGGTAACATCTTCAGCAGAGTTGAGGGGATGACATCACAGACCCTCACTCAACACACCCACACCTGAAGGCCTTATAAACAGAAGAACACTGACACTGATATCTCCTAAACGCCGCTGAAGATGTTACCTAGCTTGGTAACAAAACGTTCAGAAACCAATCCACAAGAAGCTTGGAGCATGGGGTGGGGGTGGATGGATTGAAGTTTAAGTAGTTCAGATAAAGTAGAAATAATCTTATTGTATATAATATTAATGTTTTAATTTTGAGAGAGGAACTGCTCGGGCATTTCCCCTGGACCGCATCAACAGGGAGAAGAAGAAGGTGAGAATTAAGTAGGAAGGTGAAGGAGGAGAGGGGGTGAGTGAAGAAAAAGAGGGAAAGAAGTAAGCTGGTTTGAGGTGGGATGCGGTTTGGGGGGAAATGGACGGGCAAGATCGAATGTGGCGTGTATCAATTTGTTTTATTTTTTATCTGAAGTATTTGTAAGATTGTCATCTATTGTAAAGTTGAAAATAAAAATGTTTACAAAAAAAAAAGAAGAAGAAGCTTGGAGCACGAACCTTCACCCTCATCCTATACCCGAGCTACAGATATTCACCACTATTGCAAATAAAAACAGTTTGTCAGGCTGTTGTTGCTTTGGGGGTTAATGCTTACTGCTGTTAGTTGTCTCCGATGCTTCTGATGCGCTGGAAATATTATCTGAAAACTTTTCTTCTGTGGCACTGATGTTATTCGAAGCAGCCGTTTGGTCGTCTCCCTGCTCTGATGTAGGTGTACCAGGACTCAGGAGAGAAGTCTTACCTCCATTTGAGACAGACAAAGGCTCTATCAGAACAGGGGGAGCATCCTAAATTGGAGAAGAGAAGTCAGAACTTAGTTTGTGGGGGGCGAGATGGTAGCATAGAAAGGCCCAAGTACTTCCAATGGTCCTTTTCTTGGCCTGGAAGGCTGTGTATGTGTTTGTCCATTACAATGGTACCTCAGTACCTGTTGGTAATTCGTTCTGGAAGACGCAACGAATACTAAAACCGACAAGTACCGAGGAAACCACGTGACTTACCACATGACCCACCATTTTGGCTGGAAGAAAACAGTGAGTCGTGAGGCAGCGGACGTCAGCAAGTTTTTCCTTGCATGTCGACGACCAGGAGAAAGAAGAATGCCAGGGCAAATTTCTGCTTCAAAACATGTGACATACTGAATTCGACGCATTTTTGAAGCAGTCGAGTGCCGAAATATGACTGCATGCAAATTCCATCATGGTTTACAAATATAAGCTTGCCAAAGACCTTCAGTTTTCATTGGTCGAGGGGGGACGAGAGGACAGCAGATGTCCCAAATGTACTTTTTCCAAAAGGCAACTGGATTTCCTTGATTTTTTTTTCTTTGAAAATGTTTCACTTCTCATCCAAGAAACGTCTAGATTCTTCTAGAAGCTTCTTGATGAGAAGCTGGGGGATTCTGGGAGTTGAAGTCCATTCATCATCAAGCTACCAAGGTTGGGAAACACTGTCCCCAAGGGTGAGGGAACTTCAACTGCCATCTGATTCTGGTGCACATTATTTATTTATTGGCACATTATTATTTCTTGATTCAGCCATTCTCTCTTCCAAGTCCAGCACGCGACTTACGTATTTGACGTATTCTTTCCATTGCTGCCACCACTGCATTGCGATGAGAAACCAGTTGTGACCTTGTTGAAGGCCGTGCCGACTTTCACGTTCTAGCCAGCCTCTACGCCAAGAAAACAAAGAAAGAGATCAATGGTGCAATACTTAGCAACGCTTGTGCGCCACATCTACACTGATGTTTCTCGACCCTGGCGACGTTAAGATGGGTGGACTTCAACTCCCAGAACTGAGCCAGCCTGGGGGAATTCATTCCTAGCTGGCTGGGGGGGGGGAATTCTGGGAGTTGAAATCCACCCATCTTAAAGCTGCCAAGATTAAGAAACAGTCTAGGGTGGGGGTCTTCAAACTTGGCCCTTTTATGACTTGTGGACTTCAACTCCCAGAATTCCTCAGCCAGTGTGTCTGGCTGAGGAATTCTGGAAGTTGAAGTCCACAAGCAGGGGTCTTCAAACTTGGCTCTTTTATGACTTGTGGACTTCAACTCCCAGAATTCTTCAGCCAGCGTGCCTGGCTGAGGAATTCTGGGAGTTGAAGTCCACAAGTCATAAAAGGGCCAAGTTTGAAGACCCCCCCTGGTCTAGGGGATACAGTGGTGCAATGGCTTAATGATGCTAGAATTGCTGGCCAGAAACTCCAACAGTTCGAGCCTGGCCCCACAAGATGGGGTGAGCTCCTTTCGTTTGCTCCCCAGCTCTTGCCCTCCTTGTTGTTAGTTGCAAAGTCGTCCAACCCATCGCGACCCCATGGATAATGTTCCTCCAGCCCTTCCTGTCCTCTGCCATCTTCTGGAGTCCATTTAAGCTCACGCCTACTGCTTCAGGGACTCCATCCAGCCACCTCATTCTCTGTCATCCCCTTCTTCTATTGGCCTCAGTCTTTCTCCTGCCCTCCTAGCAGTTCAGAAGCATGCAATACTACAAGTAGATAAATGGGTACCACTTCAATAGGAAAAACCTAGCCACGTTCGTATGTGCGGAGAGCGGAAGCCGGTGCTGGACCTCGCCGAATGCAAGGCAAAGCGACATGAGGCGAGGCGAGACTGGCAGAAGAGCCCGGAAGAGTCATAACCCAAGTCAGCTGGTATAAGTTCACTCACCCCTGCGGTGTACCAAGGATAGGCACGCAAGTGAAAACAGAGTGAACTACCAATTTAGGATGTCAGGACTGCATTGTATCTAGCATTTGTAGATTTTCCTGACATTGTATGCCATGTGCTAAATAAATAATATGAGAAACACTGATCTACAAAGTGTCTAACACAGTGATGGCGAACCTTTTAGACACTGTGCCCAAAAAACGCCCTGTCCCCGCTCGCTCTGCCCCCTGCCCGCCCACCCGCAGGGCCACCTACCGCTTCCACGGCCCGCCACAGATCGCCCAGGCGGCCCTGCAGCACCATGACAGCCAAGTCCTCTGCCCGCACCCCGCAGCATCATCTGTGATGGGGTGCGAGGGTGGGGTCGTGTCCCTGCTGCCCATCTGCCATGTCCTTGGTCGCGCTGCTCCATGTGGGCCACGCCTGGGGGCTACTCTCCTCCAGGGGGCTGCTGGTGAGAAGGCTGTGGGGGAAGGTGGGGCTGGGGCAACGGTGCACGTGCCCACAGAGAGGGCTCTGAGTGCCGCCTCTGGCACCTGTGCCATAGGTTCGCCACCACTGGTCTAACATCTTCTAGGTTGCCTTATCAAATGTATCTGGAGGAAGCCTAGTTTATAGGAAACCACTTTTGGGGGTGTTCATAACAATTTGCAAACCACTCTCAGAATGAAGCTATCAAATAACAGTTTCTGGAAGAGCAACCACGTTAATGTCTTCAGCATCAATGCCTTTCTTGCAAATGTATGCCTTTCACATTGAATTGAAGGAATTTGTCTCCAATGCAGCAGCTCTCAGTGTAAGCAACAGAATAATGATAAACATTATCGTAATAATGCCAATAAGTGGGGAGTAAAGAAGATAATAAGAATGATAAATAATAATGCTATAGCCATACTACATGGATAAATACAGTGGTATCTCGCTACTCATCATTAATTGGTTCTGGCAGACGCAATGAGTACCACAAACTATGAGTGCCAAACAAATCTTTTCCCATAAGGAATAATGTAGCCAATCGCAAGGTAGCTGACACTGACAAGTTCTAGTTTGTATGTTGAGTACCAAACAAATGATGAGTACTGGGACAAAATGTTCATGTCAAAATGCATTGAGTAACAAATTTGATGAGTTTCACAGCAGTTGAATACCGAGGTACCACTGTACACATAGACATTGGACATAATTCGGTGGGCTAAATTCCATTGCATCAAAACTAACAATATTATCAAGAATCACAGGACTGTATCAATATAGTTTGGGGATAGAGGAGGGAATGTAAGCAGAAGAAAACGGAATGCATAGCGTACAGACAATGCCAATTATGCTGTTCACGGTGGCCATTTGCAAGATAGTCAGTCACTGGGGAGATCACAAAGGCATCTGGCATTGATGAGTTAATTAACATATATAGCCAGATAAGAATCTCATTCCTGGTTCAGGAACTAGTAATCTAGCTGACTTTCTAGACAATTGTGATCTTTTAATTACAATAGGTTGGTGGCTGGAATAGAGGCCAAGGTTTTTATCACATATCTACTCATTAGCTCAGTAGTGCTAGAATGCCATTGTTATATCCTTTAACAACTAATTGTTGAAAGTGTACCTTGACAATAGAATTAATTCTAGCTGCCCTCTGTGTATTACATTTCAATTCTGACCTCACTGTTCCTAATCCCCATTTATCATTCTCTCTCTCTCTCTCTCTCTCTCTCTCTCTCTGTATGAGAGAGAGAGAGAGAGAGACAGACAGACAGACAGACAGACAGACAGACAGACAGACAGACAGACAGACAAGGAACCTCAAAATTATTTTGTTCCATGACATCTCCTGATATCTCCACTTGGCTTGTAGAGAAGACATTCAGTGTTTCACATATACAGCTAGTCCTCAATTTGCAATCAAATGTTCAGCAACCATTAGAAGCTACACCAGCACTGAAAAAAGTGACTTGCAATTTGGACGCTTGGCAACAGGCATATATAGTGGGCGAAGCAAGCAAGGCTGTGTGACACAGGTGGGTGAGACTAGGATTTTATTATTGGCTGGGATTGAGGGTTGGCTTGTTTGTGCTAAGCCAGCTTTCAGAGCTTCAAACACAGTTTGCATTTTTCTCATCACAAAATGGCAAAAGCCAAAAGTTCAGTAAAGGCTTTTGCTGGAGCTGCCAACAAAGATTTTATGGGTGGCAAAGTAAGGATAAATAAGGGAACACCTGTTTACCTGTGTGACAAACTCGGTTTCCTGCAGTTTGGTTAGGGCATATAGGAACGATATAGGCAGTCCTCGACTTACACTCACAACGGAGCCCAAAATGTCTGAGGCCAAGCAAGAAAATTGTTAAATGGCTTGTCTCATTTTACAACCTTTTTGCCACAGTTGTTAAGTGAACCACTGCAGTTGTTAAGTGAATTCAGCTTCCCCCATTGACTTGTTGGAAGCCAGCTGGGAAGGTGACAAATGGTGATCACATGACTCTGGGAGAGTGCAGTTATCATAAATACATGGCAGTTGCCAAGTATCCGAATTTGGATTGTGTGACCATGGGGAGGCTGCAACGTGAGCTGTGAAAACTGGTGTCAACGCTGCTAACATCATATGTTTTTGCTTTGACAACAGTTAGAGATGCAACCATTTTCTTTTTATGTTTTACTTTTAGAGTTAGATGATGCTGGGGGGGGGAGGAATGTGCATGAGAGTTTAGATAGACATAATAATACTGGACTTAGTGTGAGAACCAAGGTTATTGAAATAAGAGATGGTAAGAATTGGCGGGGCTGGAGAACTGGAGGGAAAGCCTGCATTTCAAACTAATTGGAGAATGTGATTTATGACTGTAATTGGAGAAGGGAATTGTGCTTTGATACTATGTGCTCAGGGGAGGGGAACCAAGTTTTTGGCTTTGATTGTGTTAGTGCCGATGCTACGCTACTCAAATAAAGATTCTTTAAGGTAAACGTACTCAAATAAAGATTCTTTAAGGTAAACAATGCCTTGACGTTCTTTGAAGAGTTTCATCTGTCGAAACCATGACAGCTGGCTGTAAGTTACTTGTTCAGTGCTGCTATAACCTCAATCAGTCCGAAAACGAATGGTTGTAAGTTGAGGACTTCCTGTAATCTGTAAACCATGTTTTAGGGCTTAGCATTCTGAGAAGCCACCTTCTACGATTTTGCCAACAGAACAGAGTTAAAGCAAACCATGGCATAGAATTCACAAACCCAGCTCCGGTATTTTAAGAAAACAGGATTCCTGGTTTGCTGCATGCAAGTAAGAACAGGACACCCTTTTAAAAAATATATCATCTAGTTCAGCGTCTCCCAATCTTTTTTACATGCTGCGCCCCTAGAACGCTTCTGATATATTCTCACACCCCTTACAAAAGTTCAAAATAACGGCAATGAATTATGCATATACACTATAATTTTGAAAACCCAAGTTTTCGCACTCCCTGGAATATTGTCTCGTACCTCAGGTTGGGAACCCGTGATCTAGTTGAACCCCTTTCTCTTGTATCAAGGTAATGATTTAGAAGCTAACCAGCTTGTATAATGTGAGATAAATGATGCAATGTTAGGAATGACTCAGCAGGAGTTTGTATCCCTTTAAGAACTTGAGTATGAAAGGGAAGTCTTTCTCTCTTGTCCGTTTCCTGCTGTAGTTGCTGTGTATTGGAGTTTGCTGTTTCACCACGTGTGTGTATCTCGTTTCTAGTGTATATTTGTAGATAGTGTGTAATATAAACCACCATTTGATACAAACCACTGTTTACTGTATTTACTCCTGGGTTACCTCAGCGCAATAAGACTGTGCATGTTTTGACATCTTGGTCCCAATCTGGAGATAGCACATAAAGTTTTGATACATCTTATTTCTTTCTAGCTCTTGATTGGTGGAAACTGAAGAAGTTACCCGGCTTAGAAAACGCTGCTTAGAAAGTTACCCTGCTCCAAAACGCACATCTTATTTTAAGCTAGGAAAGGGTCTCTGGAATTAATTTGAAAGGTGATGTCAGAAGATCAAATGTACCTAATGATTTGTCCTTCATCTCCTGGAGTGGCAGGTCTTAAACCTAAGACTATATGGCACACCTAGAAAAAAAAAAAGAGATCGGAGTGAAAAAGAGAAGGTGAGAGAATTTACTTGTGCCAGACAAAAGGACACAAAGTTAATAAGTTATTCTTCTCGGTCAGATAACGTTTGAACATCTATTTTGTATCGGAAGTCCTCGACTTGCAACCACAATTGAGCCCCAAATTTTTGTTGCTAAGCGAGAGAGTTGTTGAGTGAGTTTTGCCCCATTTTACCACCTTTCCTGCCACAGGTGTTAAATGAATCCCTGCAGTTGCTAAGTGAATAACACGGTTGTTAAGCGAATCCGGCTTCCCCAATGGATTTTGCTTGTCAGAAGGTTGCAAAAGATGATCACATGACCCCGGGAACACTGCAGCCATCATACATATGAGCCGGTTGCCAAGTGTCTGAATTTTGATCAGGTGACCCCAGGGAAGCTGCAATGGTCCTAAGTGTGAAAATCAGTCACAAGTCACTTTTTTCGGTGTTGTTGTAACTTCAAATGGTCACTAAGCTGTAAGTCGAGAACTACCTGCAAAAGATATTTTCCTATTCAAGGTAAACAACTGAGCCCACAGGCAGCTGGAAACATCTGGCCAGAATGAAGCTATCGCAGATAACTCAGTTCAGACATTGTGCCAAACCAAGTTTCTGCTTCCAGAATCAAATCATCATTTTAAGGCTGCTTTCATTCCCCATCCTTATCTGTATGCTAAATGTCTCTCTATTGCAGCCTTCTCTGTCACACTGAATTTATCCCCTGCCAACTTCATTTAGTACACTGAATGCATACGCTAGCTGTGGCGTGTGCATCTGAAGCTGCAGCTCAGCCCATACATGCGTCGCCTCGTTCTACGAGCAGGACGTAACGCTTGGCAAAAGGGCTGCCCAACCCAGTTTGAGAGAGCAGGTAAGAATGATGCCGCTGAACGCCTCCACCTTCTTGTTCGTCTTGCAGAATATCTTTTTCCCCATTCAAAACAACAGAATTTTGCTTTAAGGTCTTCTAAAACACCACAATGTGAGCCAACTATGCTGGGCACTGTTATCATTCTTTTGAACCGTCACTAAACAAATAGTTGTAAGTTGAGGAGTTATCTGCATTATTTTATTCCTCTCTCTCTCTCTTTCCCTCCCTCCCTTCCTCTCTCTTTTTCCATCCACCTCCTTCCCTCCCTCTCTCCCTCCTCCACTTACCTACCCCCTCTCCATCTTTCTCCTTTTCTGCCTCCCTTCTTCTCCCTCTATCTCCCTCCCTCTCTTCTCCACTTACCTACCCCTTTTCTCCTTCTTTCTCTCTCTCCCTCCCTACTTCTCTCCTATCTCCCTCCCTCTCCTCCACTTACCTACCCCCTCTCCCTCCCACCCTCTGCCCCCTTCTCTCCTTCTCCCTCCCTAATTCTCTCCCCCTATCTCCCTCCCTCTCTCCTCCTCATACCTACCCCATCTCTCCCTCCCTCTTTCTCCTTTCCCTCCCTCTCCCTCCCTACTTCTCTCCCCATCTATCTTCCTCCCTCCCTTTATCTCCCCCTCCCTCCCTCCCTCTCTCTCCAACTACCTTCCTACCTCAAAATGGCAAACCTATGCACCAGTGCACACCAGCCCATTGCTTGTGTGGCCCAGTTGTCCTTCCCCCCTGCCCCACTGGGCCACCAAGCAGCAAAGGTTGGGGACCACTATTCTAGGCTACCACCTAGAACTAAGCAACCTAGAACTAAGGAGAAACTTCCTGACTTTTAGAACAATTAACCAGTGGAACAACCTGCCTCCAGAAGCGGTGAATGCTCCAACACTGGAAGTTTTTAAGAAGAGACTGGACAGCCATTTGTCCAAAATGGTAGAGGGTTTCCTGCCTGAGCAGGGGGTTGGACTAGATGACCTCCAAGGTCCCTTCCAACTCTATTATTATTATTATTATTATTATTATTATTATTATTATTATTATTATTACTACTACTACTACTACTATTACTACTATTATTACTATTGTTATTATATTAACCACTTTACCAAGCCGGCTGATGTTAATCAAGGAAAAGAAGCACCTCTGCAAAGCTCACACTTCCCAAAAAAACCAAACAAACTCCAAAACCAAAAAAAAAAAAAAAAAAAAAACACACACACACAGACATCCCCAGGAATGCAACTAACATAAGAGCTGATACAGCATTTGGCATTCTGTGACTGCAAAGCAGGCAGCCAAATCTAAGGCCTGCCTTCCACAGGGGGTTTGGGCAGGAAATGTACCTGAAAAAGCAGATTCAGGAATTCGTTGGCAAGAGCGCTCTTCACACTCCAGATCTGATAATCCTCAAGGGTGAGATGACCAAGCTGAAGTGGAGGAGGAAGGAAGGAAAATCAATGAGGTTTTTTTTTTTTAACCCCAAATGTTTGGCTCAATGCTTTCTCTCCCTCCTCCCTCCCTCCCCTCTCTCTCTCTCTCTCTCTCTCTCTCTCTCTCTCTCTCTCTCTCTCTCTCACACACACACACACACACACACACACACACACACACACACACACCATCTCTCCCAGGCAAACTAAAATGGATATTTTAAGGAAAATAAAGGAAGGCTCTGAACCAAGAATCAATCTGTTCTATCTGTAGATTTGAAGCTGGTTTGGATCAATTAATAGGCACGATTTCCCTGGAGAATGACAGACCTGCAACTACTCTCAATAACTCTGACTTTTTCAAACTATCCATCTAGGTTTTTCTGGCTGCAAGCCATGTCAGTTAAAAAGGGGTTTTTTTTCCCCCAATAAAAATGGTTTATTTTTTCCCCAAAGATAAAATACAAACTACAGAATTGAAACCACTCCCCCCCGAAGAGTTACAAACAAGACACACACACAAATAAAAAAGAAAAAATGTATTTCATAAATATAAAATTAACAGTAAACATACAACCTCCATCCCGGTTGATACCTGTACCTCAAACAAATCTAATAGGCCCCCACCCCTTTAGCAATAGCAATAGCACTTAGACTTATATACTGCTTCATAGTGCTATATAGACCTCTCTAAGCTGTTTACAGGGTCACCATATTGATCCTCATTTTATTGACCTTGAAACGATGGAAGACTGAGTCACCTTGAGCCGGTCAGGATTGAACTATTGGCAGTCGGCAGAATTAGCTTGCAATACTGCATTCTAACTACCGTGCCACCACAGATCTACAAATAGTTATACATTTTCCGTCTGTGCTTACTAACAAGTATCTCTTAACAAATAGTCCAAATATACATATCTATTTTCCAAAGCACCTGAAGGCAGGACAAGAAGCAATGGGTGGAAACTAATCAAGGAGAGAAGCAACCTAGAACTACGGAGAAACTTCCTGACAGTGAGAACAATTAATCAGTGGAACAACCTGCCTCCAGAAGCAGTAAATGCTCCAACACTGGAAGTTTTTAAGAAGAGACTGGACAGCCATTTGTCCGAAATGGTGTAGGGTTTCCTGCCTGAGCAGGGGGTTGGACCCAGATGACCTCCAATGTCCCTTCCAACTTTACTATTATTATTGTTGTTGTTGTTGTTGTTGTTGTTTGTCAATCAAGTTGACCCAGTGTCAGTTAAACAGGATTTATGTACACTGGCTGTTATGAGCCAGCAGGGTGCAGCAGCAGCCAAAAAAGCTAATACAATCCTGGGTTGTATAAACAGAGGCATAGAATCAAGATCACGTGAAGTACTAGTAACGCTTTACAAAGTCCTAGTAAGACCACACCTGGAATACTGCAGCCAATTTTGGTCACCATAACACAAAAAGATGTTGAGAGTTTGGAAAAAGTTCAGAGAAGAGCAACTAAGATGATCCAAGGCCTGGAGACTAAAACATACGAAGAATGGCTGCGGGACTTGGGTTTGGCTAGTCTAAAGAAAAGAAGAAATAGGGGGGACATGATAGCACTATTCCAGTATCTGAGGGGCTGCCACAAGGAAGAGGGGGTCAGGTTGTTCAACAAAGCACCAGAGGGCAGGACGAGAAACAATGGTTGGAAGCTGATCAAAGAGAGAAGCAACCTGGAATTAAGGAGAAACTTCCTGATAGTGAGGACAATTAACCAGTGGAACAGCCTGCCACCAGAAATCGTGGGCACTCCATCACAGGAGGTTTTTAAGAAGAGGCTAGACATTCACCTGTCTGAGATGGTATAGGTTCTCCTGCTCGAGAGGGGGCTGGACTAGAAGACCTCCAAGGTCCCTTTCTATTTATTCTAATTCCCATTCCCATTCCCATTCCATTCCATTCCCATTCCATTCTAACCAGGATTAGATTTGCTGGATTGTGAGAAGTTTCAGGGAAACTATTCTCGCTGAAATTTTGGGGTAGTTGGTTGAATAACCAGAACAAAGGTAACAGACTAATTGACTATCATGTGAAGCTGTGAAAAATAATAGAATAAAAAGGAAACATGTTTTTCTACTTTTAATATCTTTAAAAGAATAGCTGCCCCTTTTTCATATTCAGGAGGTTAGGAGAAAGTACTAGAACAACAAAAAAAGCCCAGCGGATGGAAAGGACCAATTTTTAAAACATATTTAACAATAACTGTTCTATAATTTTACTATAGTTGTAAACAGCAAGTGTAATTGCATTCATTGGCTCGGTGGATTTCTGCCACCTTATGGGTAATGTCAAATAAATGAAAGTAAATAAATGATCTCTTTTAATGCTTTTTATTCTCTCCAGCTTCTCTCGGCAAACGATACCATGCAGATCAAATTCACAGTAAATAAACTTTCCAGGCACTAGTTAACTCCCCAGCTTGACTCAGCTTCACTATTGTCCATCTCAGAGGCCAATTCAGTTTCTTGAAGCTACTTCTGCACTGATTTCTCAAGTCATACAATAAGGGATAATAAAATGCAGATGCTCTTTCTTACCTTGGTATTATCGTGTGACTTTAGAATACCTTCTACAATGTCAGGCAAATTCATGTGCAGCTCCTTGAAAAAGAGAAGAACAGGAAGATCCCATAAAAGTTAAAAACACTATTTCGAATTGTTATTTTGATCTACATATAGACCCCAAAAGTAAGAATGCTGGGTTGAATCCACAGAGTGCAGATCCACTAAAAACAATGAGCTTTAAATTAGTAGCAAATGACCTGTCTCACTGATTTTAGCTAGTCTGCTCCATGACTAATCCAACCTGGAATCAGGCTATTTTGTCTGATTTTATGAGCTTTCTGGATAATTGGTTTACAAAACATGAAAGTGGGGGGGTAGAGGGAGGGAGGGAGGGAGGGAGGGAGGGAGAGAGAGAGAGAGAGAGAGAGAGAGAGAGAGAGAGAGAGAGAGAGAGATACAGAGACAGAGACAGACAGACAGACAGACAGAGACAGACAGGCAGAAATGGACGGTGGTAGATAGACATAGATTGAAAGACAGACAGATTCATAGACAGGCAGATTGATAGACAAACAACATATTTTAAACCAGTCTATGCAAGTTTCTTACTGAGGGATCAGTAAGGAACACCCAAGCTAGCCAGATGGTTAAGCAGGAGCCCATCTACTTTATTTTCAATTTCAAACTCAGCAAGAAACTGACTCCTTCTGATTTTTGGCTACCATAGAGTAAAATGACTTTTCTCCTACAGCTTTGAGGATCTTAAACTGTGTTGTTCAATATAAGAGTCCTATGGGTTAGCTGAGAAAAGTGCATTTCTTTTTCTTAAACCCCAATACAGGTGGTCCTCATTTAGTGACTATGTCACTTAGTTACTGTTCATGGTTATGATGGTGGTGCAAAAGTAACTTTATGATCAATCCTTGCGTTTATGATCTTCACAGGTCTGTAAAGCAAAGGAAAGGTGAAGAAAATAATAATAATGATGAAGTTGGAAGAGACCTTAGTGGTCATCTAGTCCAACCCCCTGCTCAAGCAGGAAACCCTATACCCATTTCAAACAAATGGCTGTCCAGTCTCTTCTTGAAAACTTCCAGTGTTGGAGCATTCACCGCTTCTGGAGGCAGGTTGTTCCACTGATTAATTGTTCTAACTGTTAGGAAGTTTCTCCTTCGTTCCAAGTTGCTTCTCTCCTGGGTTAGTTTCCATCCGTTGCTTCTGCTCCTGCCTTCAGGTGCTTTGGAGAGTAGCTTGACTCCCTCTTCTTTGGGGCAGCCCCTGAGATATTGGAACGCTGCTATCATGTCACCCCTCATCCTTCTCTTCATTAAACATTAGGCACACCCAATTTCAGCAACCTTTCATAAGCACAGTTCCAGTTTCACTTAGAGGCTGAGTTTCCGGGCACGACTGTGGTCACTAAACAAGACTACCTATATGCACATGCAAACTTAAAGACTAAGGCAGGAGAGGAAGAGGCTGTTAATGTTGAATGCAACTTACTGGAATGTTATCAATACGGTTATCTTTCCAGACTTCCAAAAGGGCCACGACCATTTCTTCGAGTTCAACCTTAGACAAAACCCCGTCTCGATCAACGTCAAAAACCTTGAAGCAAACTGAAAGAAAGAGAAGTGGTTATTCTAACAGAACTAAAAAGAACTTACAGTGATTCCAAACAGATAGTTGATTTGAAAAGACGTAAATGACTGGTTTTTATTTACCGTAACTGCAGCGAAAAAAAGTGAAATGGTGATTTCAGGATTTGACGGGGGGGGGGGGGATTGAATAAGGGGCTGAAGGGATAATTGTAATGTTAAGGAGGGAGGAGGGATAAACAGTTTGTTTATAACTGCTTTAATCTGCTTTTATTTGTTTGTTTGTTTGTTTGTTTATTTATTTATTTATGTTCATGTGGCTGACTGTGCAATGAACCCTAATAATTGTCATCTTCAGATTTAACTGCTATTTCTATCCATCATTTCCATTTCTAGGCTGCTGCTTTTAACTTTAAAAAAAAATCAAAATATTATGTTAACTTTTTTAACAGGGTGATGAACTGCTGTGAAGAAACCTTGCATTTTAAAAAGCAGATACATTTTTAAAAAAAAAACAGAATCATTTTTGGCTTTTAAACCTCAGCTAGTAATTGTCCACTTTCTCAGTGGGAATGGGAAAGTAGCCTGGGAAACTTACAGTTCACAAGACACAAATGATAAGTGTTCAAAGAGGAGAACTTGAGAAACTAGAACAGTGGTGGCGAACCTATGGCACGGGTGCCAGAGGCGGCACTCAGAGCCCTCTCTGTGGGCACGCACGCTGTCGCTCCAGTCCTAGGCCTTCAGCTGGGTTTTATAAAACCTTTTCGCTTTAGGCCTCCACCGCCGTGTGCAAAAAAAAAAAAAAAAAAGGTTCAATCAATCAGACAATTTCAACTTCTTGTGGGAAAACAAATCTTGCAAAGTTGGAATTGATTGATTTGAACTTTTTAGACCCACTCAGTCTGCCGTTACCACCGCGGCCACGCCCAGCCAATGAGCCATGCCCAGCCAATAGGCCACACCCATCCGGCACCTGACAATGCATAAGTGGGATTTGGGTTGCAATTTGGGCACTCGGTCTCTAAAAGGTTCGTCATCACTGGACTAGAAGGTTTAGGCTGGTGTAGAGTTTAAGGTGCTGAATTAGAAAACTGGGAGACAGTGAGTTCTAGTTTCGCTTTAGGTGTGAGAACCATCTGGGTTGACTTTGGGCCAATCACCAGGAGACAGTGAGTTCTAGTCCCGCCTTAGGCATGAAAGTCACTGGGTGACTTTGGGCCAATCACCAGGAGACGGTGAGTTCTAGTCCCTCCTTAGGCATGAACGTCATTGGGTGATTTGGGGCCAATCTTCAGGAGATGGTGAGTTCTAGTCCCGCCTTAGATTTGAAAGTTGCTGGATGACTTTGGGCCACTCCCCCTCTCTCTGCCCAGCCACCTAGAAATGAAGCTGGGTTATTATTATGGAGAAAATAGAAGAAGGCCGTATTATGAATGCTATCGTGAGTTTAGTGCAGATACTGCAAAATTAGTAGGAGAGGACACTGCCAACAGGGCATAGTTAAAAGTGGCCTCTGTAAGAGGCAAGAAATCTATTTCAGAGAGTGAAGGGACAGGAATACACGGGCACCAGTGATGTAATAAATGATATAATCTGTTTACTCTTCTTTTTCCAAAGAGCAAATATTGGCATTTACAGCACAATGGTTCTCTACATACTCCATCCACACAGACACAAATGTCAATGCCGTAAACCAAGCTAACTGTTTGTGCTTATGAATATTTTATTAAAGAGAAATTAAAATCCAGCTCCCCAAAATGGGGAGTTATCGACAACCAGACAACCTCTTCCAGAAAATTGATTGTAATTGACACAAAATGAGAGTAATTCACAATATTATATTGAATGAATAGAGCTGGGAGATGATTCGGAATTAGCTTTTAAAAGCCCTCATTTCAAAATCATCACAAGAAATTATGTTCCCTTAATGTGTGCATGCACCCATACAGGAAAGAATAATAAAATAAAAAAACACCCAAGACTTAAAATGTAGGTTAGGTAGACAGATGTAGAAAGCTGCTTTTTCCCCCAAAAAAAGGAGGGGAAAAAAATCTGTAGGCAATAAACTTAGCTCTGTTTTTACCTATTATCCCTACAGAGCCAGGACTGATCAACCTCTACATCACTGTGTTTCTCAGCCTAAACAATGTTGAGATGAGTGGACTAACAACTCCCAGAATTCCCCATCCAGCAGGCTCCCATAATGCATGCTGATTGGGGAATTCTGGGAGTTGGAAGTCCTCTCATCGTAAAGCTGCTGTTCTATGTACACAGGAGGAAATGTCAACCTCTTGAAAAAAAAATGTATACCACATGTTTGTGTCTGTGTTTGTGTGTGCGCGCCACACGGACACTTTGACATTTCCAGATCATAAAAGCAATAAAATCACAGAAGGAGCAAGACAAGCTTAGAGCCCATTAATAAATTCCACTCCTATTACTTTTGAGAGAGGGTTTTCCAGCATGCCTCTCAAAGGCTCTGTTATAATCCCAGCACACAGATTGGGAGAATTTGTCGCTTAGAAATAAGAATTTTTTTGTCAGTGACAGCAATTAATCAATGGAATACCTTTGCCTCTTGGGCGCTCCGTCACTGCAGGTTTTCAAAAACAGATTGGACAACCATTTAGCTGGGATTGTTGGACTGCAACAAGAGTCCCCAACTCCCGGCCCATAGCTCACTAAGGGGCCTTGAGCCATTTGGAACCAGGCCGTGGTGGGTGAGCACGCGTGAGCGCATCACCACTTGCGCAAGCGATGGGCGCCTGCTGCTTGCACAGAACCATCCCCTCTCCTCACCGGTCCGCAAAGCAGGAAAGGTTGGAGACCTCCAAGATCCCTTCCCATCCTATGAGTCTAGAACAGCGGTTCTCAACCTATGGGTCGCTACCCCATTTGGGGTCGATCGACCATTTCATGGGGGTTGCCAAGCAAAGCTGTCCGCCATTTTTTTCCCCTTTTCCAGCGGGTGCCTTACCTCCCTTGGGCTGGGCCAGCTGGTGGCCCAGCCAGTGGTCGGCCTGCGCCGTCTCTGCCGCTTGCCACCTACGCCTCGGCCGGTGCAGGGGGCGGCACCATGCATGCACGGTGCTCCTGGGCAGGGAAAGTCCTCGACTTACGACCGGTTGGGTAGTCTTTGACTTACGACCGGTTTAGTCCTCGACTTATGACCTGTTTAGTCCTCGATTTACGACCAGTTGGGGGTCACGGCATTAAAAAGGTTGAGAACCACTGGTCTAGAAAGTGTGTGACTACTCAGCAGCCTGGCTGGATGGGGAGAAGGGAATTGGCCACACAAGCAGCAGGCCAGTGCGCATGCAGCCCTTGTGCGAGTGGTGGGCTGGCGCGCACATACACAGCTCGGCTTGTGCGAACGGAAGGCTCGTGCGGATGCGCGTGAGTGCCTGCTGGCCCACCGCACACTGCCAGCTTGCAGCTCACACATGTTAAGTTGCGCAAGTCCACGTGAGTGCCCCCAGCCAGCCACTCACATAACCCAATTTTGAATAGGCCAAGGCCCGGTAGTGGGCCACAGCCCAGGGTTTGGGGACCCCTGCAGTAACCAGTAAATCATTAATAAGTAAAGAGCAAGCCCCACTCTCTTCTAGCACTGATGATGTTACCTAGTTTGGGTAGTGAAACGTCTGCAAGAAAACTATCAAAGCTCAGAGAGCACCACCCTCAGTAACCTCTAAAGCAGTGGTTCTCAACCTTTCTAATGCCGCGACCCCATAATACAGTTCCCCATGTTGTGGTGACCCCCAACCACTTATACATCACCGGGTGCCAAGGGCGTGGCCAAAGGGGGAAAAATGGCGGACAGCCTTGTTTGGCGACCCCTGTGAAATGGTCGTTCGACCCCAAATGGGGTCCCGACCCACAGGTTGAGAACCACTGCCCTAAAGTTTTGCTGTTGCTTTAAATTCACTGGGTCTCCATGTAGTCTAAAGCAGGGCTCATGCCTCTGCGTATGAGTGGAAGTGATCTGTGTGGCTGTTTTCCAGGGCTGAGACTGTGTGTGTGAGTGAGTGATCCTAAGCTGAACCTGGGAGCACCTGTAACACCTGAAAGGGGAGCCTGGGAAACCTCCCAGCCGTACTCACACTTCTGCCGTTCTGCCAGCGGTCCCCTGCAGCAAGCCGAGAGTCCACATGAGATTTCCTTGAAGTCTATGTGATTGTCGCGGTTTTCATCAAAGGCGTTAAACAGGCCTGCAGATGGTCCCAAAGCAGTAGGCTGAGTTTGTTCCAGTTATAGACCGCGCCCAATTTGCCAATTAAATCGTGGTTCAATTAGCTGAGATACAGGTAGTCCTCAACCTACATTGGCTTAGCCACCTTTCGAAGTTAGAAAGACCTTAAAAAAAAGTGACCTTTAGGACTGGTCCTTGCACTTACAAGCGTCACTGCATCCCCACAGTCATGTGATCAAAATTCAGGTGCTTGGCAACCAGTGCGTATTTAGGATGGTTGCAACATCCTGGAGTCCTGTAATCGCCATTTGCAACCTTCCCAATTGGCTTCGCACAAGCAAAGTCAATGGGGAAACCCAGATTCGCTTAACGACTGTGTGATTCACTTAACAACTGTAGTGTTTCGCTTAACAACCATAGCAAAAAGATTGCAAAATTAGGCGTGGCTCGCCGAACAGCCGCCTTGCTTAGCAATGGAAGTTCAGCTCCCAATTGTGGTTGTAAGTTGAGGATTACCTGTACAGAGTAACTTATACACTGATTCATAGCACTGTGCCCCCAAGTATGGAAATCTGTAGCCCATCTTCTGTTCCAAGAAATCATGGATTTAATATCCTGGGCTTCCCCCCCCTCCCCCCACGTTCATTTCTTAGTCCATTTAAAGGGCATCTTACAAAAGGAGAAAAGCAGGTGCCATATGGTCAGCCTTAACTGTTCCTCCATCATTTTTACTGATTTATTTTACCCCTTACAAATGCGGATATTCTGAGGTTCTGACTAAATACGAGGGCAATTCGGAAATAAACCTCCGTTTGGTTATCAGACATTCGCAGATACAGAACCTTTATAATACACATTAGAAGACTACAACGTTATATTACTTTGTGACATAATCGCCATTCAAAACTGAGGCACTTGTCATAACATCTTACAAGCTTTGAAATTCCTGAGCCGTGGTTGCATTTGTGTGTCAATTTTTTTGCGGGTATCTGCTTCATGGGAAGAAGGACGTCAGACCCTCTGATCGGTTATAATAACCAAATTTTACAAGTCTGACGGTAATGTCCCTCCCCTCCTCCTTATACAGGCAGTCCTTGACTTACAACGGTTCATTTAGTGACCGTTTGAAGTTACAACAGCACTGGAAAAAGCGACCCATGACCTTTTGTTCAGACTTACCACCATGGCAGCATCCTCGTGGTCAGGTGATCAAAATTCGGACACTTGGCAACTGACTCATACTTATGACGGTGTCAGTGTCCCTGGGGGTCTTGTGATCTTTTTGCAACCTTCTGACAAGCAAGGTCAATGGGGAAGCCAGATTCACTCAACAACCATGTTACTAACTCAACAGCTGCAGTGATTCGCTTCACAAATGTGGCAAGAAAGGTTGTAAAATGGGGCAAAATTCACTTGATAACTGTCTCGCTTAACAACGGAAATTTTGGACTCTGTTGTGGTCGTTAAGTGTGCCACCTTCATGTGCTTTTAATGCAGTTGTTAAAAGTTTAGTATTTATTGCCTGTATAGAACATCTGAGGTGGGACCAACCTCTAAGACAGGGGTCTTCAAAGTGGGCCCTTTTATGACTTGTGGACTTCAACTCCCAGAATTCCTGAGCTGAAGTCCACAAGTCATAAAAGGGCCAAGTTTGAAGACCCCTGCTCTAGGAGCAGGCATGTTGGGACCCACATAGCCAGAAAACCAAGACGAGATTGTCATTGATATTCTTTATGATTATCGTTTCTCTTATTTACTATAGTTATTTACTATTACATTAATTACTGTTATTGAATATATGTACCCGGACAATAGTCTGCTTGTCAAAGCATGGAAATGTTAATGGGGGTAACCCCATTGTTGTACCTACCCCTATCCCAACCCCAGCCCTGAGTCTTACCCGCAACCCCAATACCCATACTGACCCTATGCTTTCCCTAACCTTATAAAACTCAATAAAAAATACTGTATAAAAAAAAGAGAGAAGAGAGTGTCAATGCACGTTCCATACCTTCGCTCAGGGATGGATGAATGGGAGGGGAAACCAAGAGGCTAAATGTTTCCAGATCAAAACGGCCTGTTCTTGATTGAGCTTTCAGGAGCCAATAGCGTTTCTCAAGGTCGATGATATCCGATTCTTCCACTGCATAAAAGCCAAGAGGATCAAAGTCAGACAAATCAACACGGTGCCTTTAATGTCGAGGGTTTTGTGTCAGCCACTTTTATGCCGGCAATACGCTCAAGGGAACAATTCCGAGAATGAGGGTTGTTTTATGGAACAAAGAGCCTTAATGTGGGGGGTCCATGGTTCAGCGGTATCAAGTTTACTGGCCACCATTCAATATTTTACAACCCTGGTGGCGCAGTGCTTAAAATGCAATATTGCAGGCTAACTCACTGCCCACTGCCAGCAGTTCGATCCTGACCGGCTCCAGGTTGACTCAGCCTTACAATCTTCTGAGGTCGGTAAAATGAGGACCAAGATTGCTGGGCACTCTGTAAACCGCTCAGAGAGGGCTGTGAAGCGGTATGTAAGTCAAAGTGCTATTGCTATTGCTATTTTAAACAGGCAAACAACTTAGTGCAGCGATGGTAAACCTATGCCAGTGATGGCGAATCTTTCAGAGACAGAGTGCCCAAACTGCAACCCAAAACCCACTTATTTAGTGCCGGGTGCCAGGTGGGCATGGCCCACTGGGTGGGCGTGGTGGTCATGGCAGATTAGGTGGGCGTGACCAGCTCGATGTTGCTCATGGGGAGGTACACTTGTGGGGACGGGCAGGGTTGGGGGAGATTCAGGGGGTCTCTGGTAGGTGGGAAGGTGGGCAGAAGGCTCACGAGGCAAGGGGAGGCAGGGCGGGGGTGCCATTGTCACAAGGCAAGGCGAGTCAGGGCCGGGGCGGCTGCTGCCTGACACCATCGGCCCCTGCACGCAGAGGCCAGCGAGCGCATGGGTGCTGGGATGCATCCGGCCACGTGAGACCTTGGCGAGTTAGCGGGCGGCTGGTTGAAGAGGGACAATTGCCATCTCCGGGGCATGGCACATGTGCCCACAGAGCTCTAAGTGCCACCTCTGGCACGCGTGCCATAGGTTCACCACCGCTGACCTATGACACCCATGTCAAACGTGACACACAACAACACTTTTGTGCCATTGCTCACCAATGTCCGACCACAACTATTCTCTAAAACACAATCCATCCTCGTGTGATTTTTGTGCAAGAAGGGGGCAGGTGTTCTTTGGACGTTGCACATGCTCTCAGGCAGCCTTCTGGAGCCTCTGAAAAGTACGCAAGAACAGGGCAGATTTTTGGTGGTTTTCAAAGACCACAGGGGCCACAGAAGAGCATTTCCCGAAGCTGCTTCAAGAAAGAAGGCCTTGTGCGACCGGAGAAGCCCTAGATCAGTGATTCTCAACCTGTGGGTAGGGGCCCCATATGGGGTCAAACGACATTTCACAGGGGTCGCCAAACAACGCAGTCCGCCTTTTTTTCCCCTTTTCCTTAGCTGTGCCACTCCCTTTTATTCTATTGGCTTTTGAAAGCCAATAGAATAGACTCTCTTGAATAGAGTCTAATTCTATTGGCTTTCAAAAACCAATAGGAATTGTCCAGGCTATCTCTGCCCTGCTGAGCCCGCCAAAAGTCCCATTCTGCAAACGGTGCTGCACCAGTTGAGTAGTCCTCGACTTACGACCGGTTGAGTAGTCCTTGACTTACGACCGGTTGGGGGTCGCGGCATTAAAAAGGTTAAGAACCACTGCCCTAGATGGACCACAGAGAATTGTCAACCGAAAGAGAACACTGCCTGAAGGTAAGTGGCAAACGGCAGATCCTGGAGAGTGCTGGACCACAGGGGCAATGATGCTTTCCCTGAAGGCTTGCGCACCTGGGGAACGGCGCCACACAAGGCAGCTTTGTGAATGGCAGCAGTGGCCCTAGGGCTGAAGTCAAGGTCTGGGCCCCTACTTCAGGCCCATCCTTGCTCTTTGCTGCCAGGTGTTGCTGTTCAAGGTGGCCTAGATGGGAAGGACGAAGATAGAGTAACAGAAAAGAGTAACAGAGTTGGAAGGGACCCCGGAGATCATCTAGTCCAACCCCCTTGCTCAAGCAGGAAACCCTATACTATTTCAGATAAATGGCTATCCAGTCTCTTCTTGAAAACCTCCAGGGATAGAAAACCCACAACTTCTGCAAGCGAGCCCTTCCACTAATTAGTTGTTCTCACTGTCAGGAAATTTCTCCAAAGTTCTAGATTGGGCTTCTCTTTGATAAGTTCCCATCTGTTACTTCTTATTGTGCCCTCGGGTGCTTTGAGAATAAATCGATCCTCTCTTCTCTGTGACAGCCCCTTAAATATTGGAAGACTGCTATCATGTCACCTCCTAGTCCAGGGGTAGGCAACCTTGGCTCTTTTGTGACTCGTGGATTTCAATTCCCAGAATTCCTGAGCCAGCCACGCTGAGGGGAAAGGGAGAGGCTTCCATGCTGAGCCATGCCGGCTCAGGAATTCTGGGAGTTGAAGTCCACGAGTCATAAAAGAGCCAAGGTTGCCTACCCCTGGCATAAACTCTGACTAAATACTGTCTGGAAAGGGCTTAAGTTTTTTTTAAAAAAAAATCTTCTCAGATGGGAAGGGGGCTCCTGCTGCGGAAGAAAAGATATCAGGGTCGCTCTGACTGGGCAGTTGTGCGTCTATTTAATAACAAAAGACAGGAGTTTATAGTTGTCTTTTTTCCCAACCCCCCCCCCCCATGGCTCAGCATGGAAACCTCTCCCTGCCCTAGTCCTTCATTAGATTAGAGCAGTGGTTCTCAACCTGTGGGTCGGGACTCCATTTGGGGTCGAACGACCATTTCACGGGGGTCTCCAAACAACGCAGTCCGCCGTTTTTTTCCCCTTTTCCTTAGCTGTGCTACTCCCTTTTATTCTATTGGCTTTTGAAAGCCAATAGAAGAGACTCTCTTGAATAGAGTCTAATTCTATTGGCTTTCAAAAGCCAATAGGAATTGTCCAGGCTGTCTCTGCCCTGCTGAGCCCGCCAAAAGTCCCATTCTGCAAACGGTGCTGCATCAGTTGAGTAGTCCCCGACTTACGACCGGTTGAGTAGTCCTCGACTTACAACCAGTTGGGGGTCACAGCATTAAAAAGGTTGAGAACCACTGGATTAGACATACCCAGTTCCTGCAACCGTCTCTTTTGTTGGGGGGGGGGGAGAGATACACTAGCAGACTCGTTAGGCATTTTCTGAATATTTGAAACAGGGAGTCTAAAAGATTTTCCATCACTGGCCTAATCCATAAAAACATTATATTTGAAGGTACCACTGAAGCTCTCAGATCTAATCCCTTACTCAGTGAAGAAACCCAGATTAAAAGCATTCATGATAAAACAGCCATCCAGCCAGTTTGGAAACACCCAGTGAAGGGAGCACCCCCCCCCCAATCATCTGGGTAAATTGGTTTCCCTGTCAGAGGCATGTCAGTCAGAGCACTGTCCGATACATCTGTATACCTTGCAGTATGTCAAGTCACCAAACAAGGCAATTCAGAAAAGAGTATGTATGCACATGAATAATGATGGCTTTATGGATTCAAAGCACTATCCATTTATTGTTCAAAGGATCATTAAAAAAGGGCTGTAAATATTAGTTTTCAGGAAACTGTCCAAGGGAATGCCGTTCAGAATATAGAATATGGAAGAACAGTGTGGGAGGGGACTTTAAAGGTCTTCTAGTCCAGGGATGGCGAACCTTTTAGAGACCGAGTGCCCAAACTGCAACCCAAAACCCGCTTATTTATCATCAGGTGCCAGGTGGGCGTGGCCCACTGAGTGGGCGTGGCTGTGGTGGTCATGGCAGAATGGATGGGTGTGGCCAAGGTAGGCGGGGTCACCTCAATGTTGCTCGTGGGCAGGGACTCCTGTGGGAGCCAGGCAGGGTTGGGGAAGATCCAGGGGGTCTCTGGTGGGTAGGACAGTGGGCAGGAGGCTCGTCCTGCGGGGTGAGGGGAGGCGAGGCAGGGCGGGGGTGCCATTGTCACAGGGCAAGGCAAGGCAGGGGCCAGGGCGGCTGCTGCCTGACAACATCGGCCCCCGCACACAGAGGCCAGCGAGCGCAATGGGGGCCAACAGTGTCTGTCAGCAGCCACAGCCTGCCGGCCCCTCACCTGGCACACTCTAGGGCTCTGCAGCCCGCCACCAGCAGTTCAGAGAAGCCACCTCTGAGCTCAACGGCCGGCCAACAGCTGAGGAGGCCATACAGTGGGTCGTGCCCGGGAAAAGGAGAGCATTTGAGGCCAGGAGGGACGGGGGGGGGAAGGAAACCAGCTGTGCTGGGATGCGTTCGGCCACGTGGGACATCGGCGAGTTAGTGGGCGCTGCTTGAAGAGGGATGGTTGCCATCTCCGGGGCATGGCACGCGTGCCCACAGAGAGAGCTCTTGAGTGCCGCCTCTGGCACGCGTGCCATAGGTTCTCTACCACTGTTCTAGTCCAATCCCCTCTTTGAGCAAGACACCTTATACCAGTTCAGACAAATGGCTGTCCCAATCTCTTCTCGAAAACCTCCAGGGGTGGAGCACCCACAACCTCTGGAGGCAAGTTGTTCCACTGGTTAATTGTTCTCACGGTCAGGAAATTCCTCCTTAATTCCAGGTTGGCTCTCCCTCTGATGAGCTTCCATCCGTTACTTCTTTCTCCTGCCCTCAGGTGCTTTGGAGAATAGGTTGACCCCACCCCCTCTTCTCTGTAGCAGCCCCTCAAGAACTGGAAGACTGCTACCATGTCACCCTTAGTCCTTCTATTCCCCTCTACTCCTACTTCTTCTACAGGAGCACTACAGTCTTCCTCTTCCTTTTTGAAACACTGAAGAACCTCCTATGGGAAGAGGAACATCTTTTGCAGAAGGAATGGGGATAAGTGGGTTTGGAGATCACTTTATCTTCTTCAACCACTATTTCATCGGCTAAGACAGGGGTGTCAAACTCAATTTCATTGAGGGCCGCATCAGCATTGCAGTTGCCCTTGGGGGGGGGGGTGGCCTACTGGGTGGGTGTGGATGGAGTGGGTGTGGCCTACTGGGTGGGCGTGGCCAGCTCTACATCGTTCGCGTCAAGGGTGCCTGTGGGGGCCTGGGCAGGAGTGGG